AAGGGCCACTTACTGTCTCGATGTGCATCCTTCCGAGGACTCTGAGGGGACTTTTTGACATTACTAAATTGCTCCTTGTGGGAAAAACGACGGTGGAATCCACTGTCGACTTGAGAATCCCTCGGCGGAATAGTCCCATTAGAAGCATTCTTGGCCGTTTTCAGCTCACTTGTACACCGAACGTCTTTCTAGCCACCCCATCTCGACTTTCCTCTTTCGCGGCCAAATCTATTGCACTTTCTAGCTAGGATCCTTCTAACTAATAAATTGTTGGAGTTCCATCGATTGCAGACAAATTGCGAAAGCCCCAACGATTTCAACAGTTCACTTTTCCCCCAAACATACTTGCTGTTTCGTCGGGATATTGACGGAGTTCTGACTCAGACGTAAGACTCGGGAGGGCAATTTCTCAAATTGCACTTTTAATCCGTTGCATATTTCTGTAACATCTTTGGTTGCACGTAATTTCTCGTCCCTACGTATATCAGCCACCATGCCTTCCAGCTATTTATAATGTGGACTGCCTGCGCATCTTTCCATTCTGCGAGATTCATTTGCCATGCTGAATCTATCGAGAAAGTCCTGGATCCGGATCCTTCCCTTTTCGCCAGTGAATTTAGGATTAGAGGCTGCTAAATCCCGAAAAGATGACACTGCTTCATCCTTCGCCGTTCTCGTAAGTACGGGCTCTATAAATCTGTGCAAAGATCAGTCCGCTTGAATCAATGAACAGAATTTCGACAGTTTCTATTTCCTACCGACTGCGCCAGATGTAACGATCGATAGGCTGGCGCGACCTAAAATGCAAAAAAAAATCGGAAATAAATTGGACTAGAATAGACCTAGAATAAAATGAGGTATTGGCGGTCTTACCAGCAAACCGCCTTATCGTTACTAATTGATAGAATTTGCTCCCTTCGGAAAGGTTCATATAGGTCGATACAGAATCCTTGAGCAAGGATTCCTATGCTTACCAGGCTGAACACAGATTATATATTTTTCCAATTCTACTTCCTGACATACAGATCCAAATACAAGGAGAATTCCAGGGATGTTAATTATCAATTAATGAAACAGAACGTTCTCAGCACAACCAAGGGAGCGGGACAGCATCGGTTCGCGAAACAGTGAAGTTCTGAGATCGGCAAAAACGAGCTCGACCTCGCATTTATCTCGTGATCGGACGAGAGGGCGTGCGAACGGTCAGCTGAAAGGATTTTTTTTTTTTTGCAAACTCAGTCGACCATTTTCTGAAGGATTTTTAGGCCTAACGACTCCTCGACCTTCGGGGCGGTATAAATTATTTATAATTAAACAAAAATACACTCTTAGAAAAGAGTGAGCGATTTCCGAGAGATGAAGCGAAACTGGAGTTGGCAATTTTAATCCCTAAAAACGAGGAAGTATAATCGATAACCACTCCTTTATATGAGCGGAATCCAACACTTTTTTTAAAAGAGCGCGAAACGAAGGGGGGAAAGTACTTTTCAAACTGAAAAAGTTAGTGGTTATTCTCAGGAGAGGTGAGCGGCATTGTTTCCTTGTTTTTCGGGGGGTAATATCGCTAACTCCGTTTCTCAGAAATCGCTCACTATTTTCCAAGAGTGTACATATATAAATTCAGGCAACTGTCAGTGCATCGGCCGAGCAAAAACGTTACAGCCGCCAAGTCGTGATGATTCCTTTGCGTTCGCGTTCGACTTTCCTCACCGCCCGATGAAGCCGAGAAAACCGTCCGACCAGCTGCGACGGCATGATAATAATAAAAAAAATCCTGTCATGCGGGTATTTCCAGCTCCGGTCCGAGAAGCAGACTGACGTCAAGCCAAAACACGTAGAAGAACGCTTGCGTAACGATCGTCGTGCCTCTTCTGATCTACCGGATCAGCACTCAAACGCATTCCTTCAAATTTCATCGCTACAACCCTCACGCATGCAAGCACATTCTGATTTATCTAAAGCAGCAAGTCCTGGCAGCCTCCCTCGCAAGCCTGCGGATATGAAACTTCCCGGGTTTCCTTCCCATCCCTCCCCCCCCCCCCACCCCCCCACCCCCGCACTTCCTCAGGTGGGGGAGGAGGGGGCGAGGCGGTAAAATGTTTGGGGGAGCTCCGAGGGCCCTGTGCTGAAGCGATCATCAGGTGGTGTGGGTTCTCTCGCCAAGTTCTCACGTCTGCCTCCACACGTAGAGGAGTTGTGCATTATTTCCCATCGGGATTCTTCTCGCATGTGTGCGCATGTGCAATCGCAGGCGGCTCTGACGTGACTTGTGGTCGCATGTGGTCACAGGCAGGTCACCAGCGTGTTCGTGGCGGAATGACACCGCGCACTCCTCTCTCGTGATGCGTCGGATTTTATTCTAACCATCGATGCCGGGAAAGATCTAAAGAAACAATGGTCTGACGGGACGAAGGGGAGAGTTTCGAGGCTGGTTCGTCCGCTCGTCACACAATACGAGGAAAAGACAATACTTGGGTAATTGAGGCGGGGACGGAACTCAAGGACATTGCACTACTCGAAGCCATCATAGACTCCTATTCCCTTACTTTCAGCCATGGGTATCGTCATCTACGGTGATTTGAGCCATTTAATAAATGAAAAGTACATCTTACGGAATGGCTGCGGCATACGCTATGCGTGTACTTGAGTTAACCCCTTGTGGAGAGAAAAAACAAACAAGAAATTTGAACTTTTTCAGAGAGGAGAACTCTTCTCGACGCGACGGTAGAAAGGGAAAAGAGGGAAAGAGAAGAAAGAGGAAAAAAGAAAGAGAGTGGATTTCCAATTAGGTCGTCGTCTGTTGTGCTCTTGGAGTTAGTCCAAGCCGTTCGAATTTGCCTGCTGGTTTCTATGCTGGAGAGTCTGGAGAACTATTACGTGTACCTTTCAGACCTTTCCTCCTCGAAATCAAAATATGCTACTAGTGCCTCATTTGTCGAGGTTTGCTCAGCGCTTCATCAAAAGTAGTTTTCAGTACCACCAGTATTAGCTTAGTACTAACTACCTAGTACTAAGTACCTTCTGCATGTGCCCTCTCTATGGAGAATCCATCAAATCGGCCCAACACCTCATTCAAGGTATTTTTCAGTACGTTTCGGTACTGGCAGTACTGGAAGCTTCGTGCCGCAGCTTCCAAGAGACACTTTCTCCTCTGGAAATAAGTATTGTCCAGTACTCAGATCTCCAGTTGTTTTTTCTTAAAAGTGATCTATTTGTTTCGAATCACTACTTTTGGTACTCCCAGTCCTAAAAGAGAAATTGAAACCCACAAGAGGCCCATTCCGGCATAATGCGAGTCAATAGCTCCCTCATTAGTGCGGATTCTCCGCGATGCGAATCAGATCTCGGAAAGAAAAGTACTTGAAAGTACTTGACTGTTGCTGATAAAAGCTGGTGTGTGCATATATGAGTTAACGTTATCGTGATTTGCGAGGTGGGAAGTGGCATAGCAAAGGCCGATTTTTGCTCCTGCCCACGACGGATTTAAAAAAAAAATGAAAACACTCATTTTCAATACCCTTTCACCGAATTAAAGTTTATATTTTTTTTTACTTTCGATGCGTTCGAAGCATTTCGGTTTCCTGGTCCTGTGCTAAAAGGCTCCAAGCGGAGAGCTGCGTTGCGACCACCGTCGCAGCTCGTCGCAATCGGACGATTCTTTTCTGTCGCATCTTCGCAGTTATGAAATCCTTGGATGCTTAATTTGGCGGCTGTTTTGTGGAATGACATCGACGGTAGAAGATGCCGATCATCACCATCGATTCTCCATGAACGAGATACAAAGCCGAAGTAAATAAATCTTCAAGAGAGGTCTCGATATCAATTATGTTCCTGATGATTTTTCATTGTTTCAATTTGTGAATTCAAATTTAATTTTTTTTTAAGTCGAGAAGCTCTCGTTCTTCGAGTGCAAAAACCCGAGTCGTCTCCTCCTTCAGGAGAGTGCTGCATGATTTGTACGTATTTGAGATATTCGGAATATTTGTATGGAGTATGCATTTACAATGACACTGCCACCATTTGCGTGGGGAAATGCAAGGTCTGAAGTTTGTGTCCTGCCCTCTCTTCCAGCAGATCAAGAAGGATCATGAATAGATCAAGAAGGGTCTTGAACAGCGCAAGAGATATTCTAGCGGACATAGGAGAGAAACACTCTTTGTCTTCGGTGATAATATTTTCTACTAGGGTCTGGAATTCTCCGATCTGATCGGGATCTGTGTACAGGACGTACTTACCTACAGTACCTACAAAAAAACATAAGTGTTGCAAAACAGCCCTATTTGATTTCGCTTGGGAGCTCTGCGGCCAGTGTGGAAGATGCTTCGCGGACGGTCGCAGTGCGGCTTTGTCGCAGCACTTTGCAGTCAGTGTGCCTTAACTCTGATCCAGGACGAAATCAGGCTCTCAAGCCACGCTTGTTGTCACGGAAATTTGACGGTTAAGAGCTCAAGTGCAGTTCAAGGTCGGGTTCAAAATTGCATATCGTTTCACCTTAGCGAACAGGAAAATCTATGGCAAATCATGACGGATGAGAGCTCTTGAATCGGCTGCTTGGGCATTCCCTCTCAACAGAATTGACTCCCAAGAGACGGATTTTTTTTTTTACGGCAGACGGAACGGTATGACAAGACGTAGAAACGTTTCAGAAGGAACGGGCCATTGAACCCGGAGGACGCGTGCTGTGCCTTTTCCTTATTTCGATGGGAAACCGAGTTCTCAGATGGTGTCTGGAGATTTGAAAAGTCTCTTTGACAAGAGAGTCTTTACTAGCATTTTCTGGTTGGCGAGATCGCGGGCAAGGGCAGACGTGTCTGCACCGTCACGGGTCACAATCTGGAACCTTCCAGAGTTGCCATATCTCCGATTCCCATCTCCCCGTGTTGCCAACGGGACGGGGAAGGGCGAGACGACACGGGGATGGGAAAAACCACATCCGCCGTCCGTGTCTTCGTTTGCCTCCACCAAGTTTTCCTTCCCCTTCACCTCCCCGCGCGGCGAGGGTTGCAGTCTGGTGGCAGCGCTTGTCGAGTGCGGATCCTCCAGGCCGTCACTTTTTCATCTCCCCCGTTTAAAATGTACACGGTAAGCGCGGCGAAGATCTGCTCGTAGGCTCAAAAGCAAATCTCCCTAACTCCTTCCCCTTTCACCCCTAGGTCAGAGGGTCCGTCGCATGAACCATATGTCTGCCAGAGACAAGAAGGACTCCAGGTGAGTACTTCCCTCTGTCTCTGTGTGTGCGCCCCCGGCCATCTTCAAGGACTCGTAGAGGACTCCCCTTCTCTCCCCCAGTTCGCCGTACAGTTTCCACCATTCGCCCTTGGACATTTTCTACTCGGTGAGCGGACACAGGGGGAAGTTCACGCCGGTCCACTTCGCCGAGGAGAATTCCATCATAAACAGGTACTTCGATTCCCGCATTTTTAACCAATGATATTCATTCATTAATTGAAACAGTTTGTTTGCCGATGCACCGCGAATGCGATCGGGCGTGATCATGATTTCATTAATTGGTCTGCGATCAGTCAGCTATTCGAATTCCAAGACGAGAGGAATTTAGTTCAAGTGCCCGAGCATATGAAGGAATCAACTAACCATTCAAAACTGAAGGGGGAAAAAAAGTCGCGGAAGTTGACGGACAAGTTTAGACCCACTGGCGGTTCGTACCTTATCACCAAGTACCAAGTCAATGGAATTTAGGTAGGCAGTGCCTATCTGTCATCAATCGAAGTACTACAGCTAAAGGTCGCTAGTCGCTATCGTAGGTCCGTAAATCGATAGGAAATCCAGAAAGCACTCTAACGGAGTAAGCACTCTAACTCTTCTCCAGACTGCTCTCTAACGGATCGCAAGTCGATGCGAATTAGTTAATCTGTTTATTGTGAATTTTTTTGTTGGTTTATTTGCGAGAAATTTATCAACTGGGGATTGTTTTTGGAGTACATGCTATTTCGACAAAAGCGATTGTTTCCCCATATACTCGACCTGAAATCATAGTGCAGATCTATTTCGCACGAACCGTTGACTGAAATCTGTTTCAGCCTAGGCTAGCCTACTTCGATTTTCCTTCGTCTACAAGAGGCCTTTTAGATCGGGAGGTCCATGAGACATGGTGAACGTGTTGCTTTGTACGTTTTATGACTATTCTCCGTTGAGAGGGCGTTTACGAGGCCGACGGCAAGTCGAACAGGATCGGGCTAGTCTCCCGAAATCCGAGACATGAAAATGGAAGAGCCGGTGCAGCCATAGACGCCCGCGGAAAACTCGGAAAAATCTCTCGTTGCCATCAACCCAGCCCTTCGGGCGTCTCCTGCGCGCCCGGGCCGATTGGAGACGCAGAAGGTGTGAGCGAGCCCCAGGCAGAGCATGCGTGGAGCAATCCCGCGACGCCTATCTGCAGGGAGCTGCATTGGGCCTTGCGGCATTTCGTGTCTTGGGAATGTCATAGTAGGTCATGGTCATGCTATGCCATGGCGTATAATCACGGATGAGTTTACGCTGCACCAGAGCGTGGTTGGTTGTGATTGGCGTGACTCAAGACAGAGGGTAGGCGCGGAATGCGAACTGGTCTTATGGGGTCTCTGAATTTTCGTAACGGACGGAACATTTATCACTTCCGTGGCGGCAGCAGCCTCTATTTGAGGCTGGATTTAGGGTGAACGTTTTTGGCTTCATCAGAATGTTGCTGCTCTTAGGGAATTTGGACAAGCGAATAAATAACCAATCGAGTCATGAAGGTCTTCGCATTTTCATTTTTTCCTTCCGAAATAAATTTTCAGTATTTTATTGTCGATGGAATGCTATCGGATACAGTTCCTCACGATCCACGTGAACCCACAATCAAGATTCTCGCATTTGCATTCCAGGACAGGCAACGGAGAGGGAGAACGAGCACGCAGCCAGAGCAGCCCCGTCGAGCGTTTCCGCTTGTGGAGCGAGGAAACCCGCTCGGAAAAGGGAAGGTCGGGTGGAGAGGTCTTCACCTACGCCCTCGCCCCTGGCAGCTCGTTTCGATTACCCAGGGCTGTCCGCGGCTACTACGGAATGGAGGGTGAGTCTATCGCCGCCGCTTCCAGACCGGCCTGGCCTCGTCTGAGAAAGTGCAAGGATGTCGTGAAGACGTTCCCCGGTGTGAAGAGCCTACTTTAGTGTCCATGGTTGAATTTGGGTGCTGCGGAAAGAAGGGTGGAGACACTACTTTGATATTGAATTTTTGGATTCGCCTCCTAATAGCGCAGCCCATTCCTTTATGGAAGATAATTCTCAAGCTGAGAAAATTTGCATCCTTAGTAGTTTCAGTTCATGGGATTGCTGGCTGGTTAAGGTTGCTCTGATAATTTTAGAAATAAGTTCTCTCGACAAATCAGTCAGTGAGAAAAGCGAAGACTATCTGATCCGGTTCGTTCTTGCTTTTCGTAAAACTAAAAGATCAATTCCTAATCGAAGTTCGTCTGAGCTTCAAAGACCGTGGGTATGCTGAGAATATTGGGCTAAAAAGAGCTGGGCATGATCTGCCGTTGCACTCTCAACTAAAGGCGGAACGTCTAATTTGGACTAGGGCTTAGCACGACGCGAAAGGAACCGGGAAAATGAGACTTCCGGGCTTGAATTACTTCAGTAAACGAATAACTAATAACGAATAATAAACGAAAAGAATAACTCCACACCGGCTGAAAAAATTCACGTCTTCTGTTTCTGCGGATTGCAACTTCTCATTGTGGACATCCTCTCACGTGCTAGATGTGGATGTTGCAGAGGCAGGGGAGAGAGAAGCGCAGAAGGAGAGGAGGAATAGGCCCAGGGGGGAACCAGGCCGGACGACGGGGATCGTGATCGCCATCGCGTCCCTCCTCATCGTCGCAGGCATCATCGCCCTCGCCGTCATCCTATGTATGTCCATATGTATATTGCTGGGGGAGGGGGGCTCTCCCGGCAACTCCTGTCCCGGGCTGTTTCAGAAGGGCAAGGACAAGGGTGTCGTCAGAGGTTTGCCACCCGGTACGGAGTGTTCCTGGGGGAGGTGGGGTGGGGGGGTTGGCTGGGTGAAAAAAGACCAGACCGGGTTTGGCTGCATTGGGTGACGTATCAGAATGCATTCTGCACTTGTCAGTGAAGGTGGTTTACCGAAGTTCGAAAGCATAGAGGTTGTGATCATCGAATCTGTTGTTGCCGAAGCCAAGAAAGCGCGAAACAGGCAGGCAAGTAAGGTCTTTCTCGCCAAGTGGTTCGAAATTCCGGAGGAAATTAACAGCGAAAGGTTTTCCTCATGGAAGTACCTACCCCCGCTGGAATGTCTTTTTGGTGTTGGGAATCCCGCATTTTCTTATACGGGTATGTTAAAGGGTTACACAGGAATGCACGACCTTAACCAATGGCAGGATTCTGAGTCCCAGTTTATAGTAGTTCACCTCGTGTTGTCTAGTTGGCAGCAGTTCACAGTAATATGAAGCAGCTGTATTTCCTCCGCACTTCAAAAATGGTGTCATCTTTTGAATTTATTTCAGCTAATACATTTCTTTCCTGGCCAATTTTTTTCTATATTTTTACAAGTTAAATAATGGAAAGTAGTACAGGAATGCTGGGAAACATGACTTTAAAATATGGATACCAGTACCAGCTTAACTAATTTAAAGATAATTTTATTAAATTGATAAGTAATTTAATTTATATTGCTTAAGGAAACCATTTTAAAATCACTTATTTTATGAGCCTTGTTGAAGCCCAAAAAAGAATGACATTTTTTCAATGCCTAGAATAGAATTCAGGACTGAAATGGTTAAAAATTCAGTGGGCTTGAAATTCGCTCTTGCAGTCCCTTTGCCGCCACTTGCTTCCCTTATCCCTACTGTCATAGATGGGCTATTTCGCCTCACCTTCATGCAGCGTTTGACGGAATTCGAAGAATCCCCCTAGAATTTTTTTTTCTGTTTATATTTTTGTTGCGCCATTCACTGTAGAATGCAATTTGATAGTCTTGATGCGAAGTCTTCTATTATGATTCAATAAGACGTTTCAAGTTCCGTTTCAATTGCTGGTTTAGTTTTACGCTATCAGTATTGTGACATTCCCAGGGTTCTTCCACAGTTTCATTTTTTAATTCTAAAGTGGACTACCCATACGGAGCCTGTTCCCGTCTTTTTTTTCCTGAAGATATTTTGCCAAATGTGACAATTTGCGTAATTCACGGGGACGACTGGCCAGATCGCTGCCATAGACTCACGCCCGTGTGCAATCAGTGGCGTGACTTGCTAGCGCCGTGCAGATTAAAATAAAATTGGTTCGTCATTCACGAAGTCGCTCGCGTCGCATCTTGGCATTGCATTCGTGTCTGCAGCGCCGCCATGGCAACAGCTCCCAAGAGGATGAAAATAGCGGGATGAGAAACCGAGGCCGTGCGCTTGGCGTTTTCGGATTCCATCGAAGGATGCAATCTGATTTCTGGCGTGTTTTGGTCCCCTCTAAAAACTTGCCCGGTTGCCAGACATTGCTGGAGGCACTGTCTTGTTGTGGGGGGGGGGGGGGGGGATCGAAATATCCCCCCCAAGGCAAAGCGTCTGGAAATCGCAGTCGAGGTCACGCTAAGGTTGTCGGGGCGGCCTCGATAGCCATCTCTATTCTCGATGACGTGTGCATTGCGCCGCCGTGCGTTTTTACTGCGTGGGTTCGACATCGCGCCGACCTGTGGTGGGATTGCAATTCAATAAAGCCAGTTTCTCTGCTAATACTTTTTATTCCAATTAACCACGCACCACGCGTTCAAAATGCGATGCTGTTAGAACGCTGGCAAGAAATAAGTCCTTGGTCAAAGTAATTCTGGGATTCCAGGGTGGGATTGCGTAAGCAGAGTACTTCCTTGAGATCCACTGTGACCCAAAGTCCACTGTGACCCGAAGTCCACTTTGCCTCGAAGGATTGACGACGTAGGGTGATTTTGTGTTCGCAGCGAAGAAGCCGCTCGAGGGATCCTTGGAGGAGTCGGGAGGAACCGTCTCACCAGACGGTAAGGCCGGCAGTACTTGTTCGAATTCTTTAATACTTGCCAGGATATTGAGCAATTTTTTGTTTACCATTCAATTCTAATTGAGGTAATTTTCAGGACTATTGGGTTCAATTATTTACAATTATATTACAATTTATCGTTCGAAAGCGTCGAAATCGAGGCGGTCATCGCTTTATATTCCGGTAAATGTGGTACTTTGGAATTTGAACTGGATTGCCCTGATTCGCACGTCACGCTGGCTTTGCGCAGGTCGTCCTGGGTCGCCCAGTTTCGTCCTGGTGAGGATGGTCTTCCCGGAGTTGACGTTTGATCCGACTCTCGCGGAGGCGCGGAACGCGGAGCTGAAGGCGAACGCAATTGAGAACGAGGTTTGTCTCCGCTGTTGATTTGGTCAGTAAACTTTTTTTTTTATTTTTAATGAGAAAAAATAGGGTTTTGACAATTTAAATTAATTTGTTTCGAAAAATCTTTAAAAAATTATTTTAAGCTTTGAACTTTGAAGAATGCTAGACCAGGTGGGTCGTAAATGTCGAAAACCCTCAGAAGTTGCGTGTCCCTTCCAGCTCTTGCCGATGGTCAAAAACGGAGAGATGACCAAGGGAGAGATTCACTCCGTGAAAGTGATCGGCTTCGACGACGCCCCACCCCCGGGGTCGGGCAAGATCCAGCCGGCGGAGCGGCCCCACCCGGGCCTCGCGGCTTACGTGACCCTGGAGCTGGAGCACCCTCAGAAGGTGGAGCACGCCACGGCGGACGTGATCCGCGCCCTCCGCGATTCCAACTTCACCCTGGCGGGGCACAGAGTGGAGCCAGGCAGCGTCATGGGCACGGGTAAATGGGGATCCCTATATAATTAACATTTTATTTATGTTTTTCAAGGAAGTGTTGTCTTCTGTTGCAGGGAGGCTTGTTGTCGAAGGCACTGTGAAGATCGTGCGGTGGGAGGACCATAGTGATGAAGTCTCTGATGATCTCGAGCTAGCCGTGAGTTTGAACTGCCTTGATTGGGAATCATGTATTTTTCGTTGTTTTTGACTTACCCATGTTAGACGAGCCTTTTTTTAAGTTTAATAGCAAAGTTGGTATTGATTGAAAATTTCTGACTTTGTTTCCGAAGTTTGAGACTTGCGTTTCCCCGCCAGCTCCGCAAGCTGCTGAACGAGACCCGCCTGTCGTCGGACATCACCGGCGTCGCGGTGCAGGACGTTAGCGGCCCCTTCGACTCGAACGGAGGGTGGATGGAGGCCCGCTTCCAGGTGTTCCTCGGACGGGTGCACCCGCTCCGGGACGTGAGGGAGGCGGTCGTCGCTCGTCTGCTCCCGAACGGCACGCTGGGGCCGCTTCATGTCGACGTGGCGTCGCTCAAGCTGCGCGGTGCGTGCTTTTCTTTACTTTCGAGAAATGTTCTGTTCGGCCGTGACGTTTAAGCGAGTGCTTAAATTTCGTGACCCGTAAATGTGCTAGTTCGCAATTAATAGAAATTAAAGTGTGGTGCTTCCACGCACTTCATAGTAAGTGAAGGCGCGCTTGTTTTCTAAAGGCCCGAGTTGTCGCACGTTCAGGCGCAATGTAACTCCAGCTAAAATTGTATCACCCTAGTCATCTTGCGTTTGAAAGTGATGCGTGCGACATGCATGCAGCATGCGTGTCAGCACGTGTCTACTTTCTACTTGAGGCCATTTTGCATGCGTATCTCCACATGCTAACACGCGGGTGATGAATGAAGTGCTTACTTGGAAAACCAGAGAAGCGTGTTAGTCATCCGTGGGTCTCTTTGAATTTCGACACGCCGGTGTACACGCGTATAAACGTCCCGAATTTAATTGACCTCGATTCCGTTCGCAAGGGTTTTGCGGAAACCCTTGGTTACCTGTGGAAGTGCATGCACTTGCGTGGGTTCGCGTGCCAGTTCGTGCGCTCTGACGCATAGAACGCAGTGTGAAATGGCCTTAGGTCGTCGATACAGGCTCGAGAGAAAGAAACGCTCATTGGATCCTTACGTGACAAAGCGACCGCTGTTCCCTTTCAGATGTGACCGAATGGAAGGTACCGAAGAGGAGTCTAGTCCTTCCCGGAACGACGGCGTCACCTGCAAATTCTTCCACGACGACACCCACGTTCAACGGAACGTCGACGGAGGAAACGACCGTGCGCGGAGTCTCGTCGACCGAGAGGCTCTCCCCCCACGCGACGACGACGAGCGCGACGACGCGGCAACCGGAGCTGGGGAGGGGACTGGGCCTGGGGACGACGAGCGAAACGCCCGTAACGATGGCGTCCACGGTGAGGACGACTAGTGAGGACGGTGAGGAGTCGACAGCTAGAATCGCGTTCGGTTCTGCGGGGCGCTCGACTACGCCTGCGACGTCGACTGTTTCGACTGAAGGGACGACGACATCGGTCAGTAGATCTACGGAACATCGCGGTCGAGTGATGGAACTGCCGACGACTTCAACATCTACTTCGAGTACGACATCGCCCTCTACCACGTCTACTACGCCTTCAACGACACGAACCACGCCTACTACGCCTTCAACGACACCAACCACGTCTACTACGCCTTCAACGACACCAACCACGTCTACGACGACACCAACTACACCTTCTACTACGCTTTCAACTACGCAATCAACGTCGACTGCGTCAGCTGGAGGGTCGACGACGCCGGTCAGTCGATCCACGGAACAACATGGCCGAGGGATTGAACCATTCGGGACTTCCACTCCTTCATTAATCACTACATCGCCCTCAACGACGCCTTCAACGACGACTGCACGGCACTCAACGACGCCAACGACTGCATCAACTCAAAGGTCAACAACGCCGGTCGATGCAGCTACTGAATGGCATCCCCGAGCGATAGAACCTTCGACTCAGAGTCCGGTATCGCGTTCGACATCGATCGGGACAACTCGGCAGCCGACAACGCCAGTCGGTCGACCTATGGAGCGGCACGACAGTGCGATTGAGTCCTTGTTGACTTCTACTCCTTTGAGTACAGCTTCGCACTCGACTGCGTCTTCAGCAACTGGATCCGCTGGAGGGTCGACAACGCCAGCCGGTGTTGCTACCGAACAGCTTGGCCGAGCGATAGATCTCTTTGTGACGTCCACAACTGTTGCCGAAACCACGGTCGTGGAAACGAGTGAACTGCCAACGGCTGTGGCTGAAACTTCCGAAATGACTGCCGATGAGGATGATGATGATGAACCGGTTTACGGAGAGGCGAGGGCGAATGTCATCGGACCGAGGGAGTCCAAGAATCTGACGACGACGACACGTGCACCGAGAACGACGACGGTCCAGAGTCGCAGTACGAAGGAGGCCGGGGTCACTACGGGGGTGACTGCTCCGGTCACATCGACGACGCCGATGACGGCGTCCACCAGCGCGTCCACGACCCACCGCGCTGCCAGCAAGTTGTCGTCCACGACGGAGTCTGTGCCGAGCGGTCGAAATGGGAGCATCGATCGAACATTCACCGTCACTCCGCGGGCTGGGGGCTCAACGACGACAGGCTCATCATTGGGGAGGTCGACGACGGAAGGTGTGACGCCGACAACGACGCGGGTGGATGTTGTCGGTCGATTCGATCCTGAAGTACTGGATGATCTAGACACCGAGACTGAGACTGTTTACGTTGTCAACGAGACTGTTCCAGATGGGTCCGCTGGTAACGTTATGGCCAAATCCCATCTGTTGTCTACAACATCACCTCTGCGAACGTCAACGGTCCCTTCGACAAGAATCACTCCTTCATCCAGAATGGCTCCTTCCACAAGCACCCCTTCGTCCACAATTGCTCCTTCATCCGCAATGACTCCATCCTCCACAATCACTCCATCCACATTTACTCCATCAGCAAACACTCATCCCAAGCATCTAGAATCAAGGAATGAGGATATATTTCCACATCCCTCAACGGCAACGACTCCTGCATCGACCAACTCGACATCAGAATTAGAGCACTCTCGTGTGGTCTTGATGTTAGAACCCACAGCAAAGCTGGAGGTGGTGAAGCGTTCGACTTCGTCCATCAGCCCCCTGGTAACGACCAGCAGCACAACCGAAGACATCAGTCCGATCGTGACAGCGCCTACAGCCGCTCCTCGGGAAATGACCACACCGGGTACCGCTCCCAGACTGGCGATTCCTCTATACTTCCTGGACTTCGATAGCTACTACCGCTACAATGGACCCAGCGGCCGAGAATCGGAAAAAGGATTGGCACCGGTGGTGATGGTCGAAGACCACGTGATCATCGACCTCCCAACAGGTTCAGGTCAAGCAAGCGAAGGGAGGCAGGTCCTCCCAGGGGACAGGCGACCATCCCCCCCGATACAGCCCGTCCCAGGGGACAGGCGACCATCCCCCCCGATGCAGCCCGTCCCAGGGGACAGGCGACCATCCCCCCCGATGCAGCCCGTCCCAGAGGACAGGCGACCATCCCCACCGGTGCAGCCCGTCCCAGAGGACAGGCGACCATCCCTGCCGGTGCAACCCCCTCCACCTCCATCGTCACCTGCCAGGCCAGTGAATCCTTTCATGGTGGAACCCATCCACCCTGCCTTCACCAGACGGCCGACTATTCCCATCCATGCGAACCCTTTCCTCTTCGCCACATCCGACTCAGTGAAGGACCTCAGACCAGAGACTGGTCCTTCGATCAATGCCCCGAGCCCAGCTCGTCCCAGAAATCCAACTGTCCCTGAAGGAGAGAGGGAAAAAGCTTCCCAGGCATCGCAAATCGGGAGTGAAAAACGGGAACCACCACGATCTCTCGATGTTGGAAACTTCGATGACGATATCTCACCTCAAACCTATCCACGCAAGTCCGAAGACAGTTACACGTACAACTCCGGCGACCACTTGGCCCCACCGCAGTCAAGGACCGGCCCTCCCAGAAAACCCTCGTCGACGCTCTCCGAAACCGAAGCGCGCGAGTCTCGGCAAGAATCAGAAGAGGATGCACACCATCATTACTCCCCCACTGGAGAGCACATCGACCATTCCCCATCTTCCAGCATCTGGCTAAAGCATTGGGAGATCTCCCATCCAGCATTTACAGGGATATTCGCGTCTCCAAGCCGCCGCGATCAACCAGAACCTCCACCACCTAGGACAAGACAGCAGCAGGCCACCCCCCCGCCACCTCCTTCGACACGATACGAGCATCCCATTGCAGTCCAGCCACCTGAAGGAGTTGGGTACCAAATCCCCGACCATGTTCAACATCCTGGGCTGTTCAAGCCACAAGAGTCTCGCCCATCTCGGTACGAATCAGAAGGCGCGGGTGAAACCTACGAATCGATTCCTGAGTCGGCATTATCTCGCCCTCCACAAGGCGTTCCCTTTCTGCCTTTAGCATATCAGAGAAGTCCATCGTCATCAAGAGGCAAAAATGAAAACACCCGCTCGGAATTCGCGCCTGGATCATCGTCTCGTGATCAGCAATCCGGAAGCGCCGTCGGGAGACCAGGTTTTAGTTATCAAGGAGCTTCAGCAGGGCAGTTTGCCAATAACAATGATGCCGACCAACCCACATATTTCCCTGGGACAGTTCACTTTTACGAATCTGAACCACATGGCATTGAAGCTGACAATTACAATGAATTTTCGTCACAAACGTCATACCAGCCACCACCCCCTCCTCCACTCGACCAAGTCGGCTCCTCTCGGCTTCCAATCTTCCCCCCTCAGAAACCGAGGCCAAGCACCCAAACTCGACCGAGTGAGAGAGGGGATAGACCCTTCGGACCCACCAGACCAGAGGGAGAAAGGCAGAGGGCAGAGGCAGGCCCCAGACCCGTTCGTCCCCGCCCCGGACCCGCTCCCTCAGAGTTTGCTACGCGTGGCCACACTTCGAGCCCAGACGACTTCGCCATCACGATGCCTTACGGACAGACTTCCAAAGATAATCAAGGCACCGTCACCTACTTCACCAGGAACCACCCCTTCAGCCGACTCGTCAAACCGGACGAACCAGGAACCGGCCCGATCCTCTCCGACGAGCCTCGGAAAGAGTCACAATTAATTGTCAGAGGTCACCGCAGGATCGAAGGCGTCTCGACTGATTCTTACCTCGCAAGGCTACGGAATCGATCCAGGGATTTCAATCAGGAGCAATTTCTCGGCGCTCGAGACCCAACCACCCCGACAATCTTCGACTCTGCCTCCGAAGCAGAAGGAACCTCGAGCGTGATCATGTACCCCGTGACCAACACCCGCCAGACGAGAAAGATTCTCACCCCCTACAACTCGTTCCATGAAGACTTCATGAAGTCGGAAGGCCTGAAAGCTGCAGCCCCATTCGACAAAACAACCGAGAAACCATCCCCCACAGGTCAGGAGTCACCTTCCCACGGGAGTGCCACAAGCCCCATGGAAGCATCCCCAACCGAAGATACCCTGCAGGCGGAGCCCTCCGAACCCCGTCATCAAAGTCAGGGAATCCTCACGGCCTTAGAACCGATCGAAAAATCCAAGCCTAGAAGTCCGCCTCGCCGTCGTCTGCGGACCTCGCCGTTGAAGCGTCTACGTGCAACAAATTCTGCAACGAGTCATCTTCGCTCCTCTCGATCAGCTGTCCAGCCATTCAATCCTCTGTCCGGGCTCCCTGATATTTCGGGGAGCAGCCTGTTCATCAAGCTCATGTCACCCGAGTTCTCGACTCCGGTCGAAGAGGACTTCGATTCCATTTTCGAACTGAGCCCCGAAGAAGCAGCGTCTTCGCGGATCCAGCCGCTTCTACTGCCCGGTTTTGGTTTCTTCGGCCAAGATGGCATCATAGCATTTCCAAGACCAGGTTTCCGTTACCAACCCGGATTGCCTCCCTTCGACGATGACTCCTACCGACCCGGATTGCCTCCCTTCGGCGATGGCTCCTACCGACCCGGATTGCCTCCCTTCGGCGATGGCTCCTACCGACCCGGATTGCTTCCCTTCGGCGATGGCTCCTACCGACCCGGATTGCCTCCCTTCGGCGATGGCTCCTACCAACCCGGATTGCCTCCCTTCGGCGATGGCTCCTACCAACCCGGATTGCCTCCCTTCGGCGATGGCTCCTACCAACCCGACTTCCTCCCCGGGATCCCAAACGTCTACGTACCCGGACCGCCCGATCAAGACGCGGGAAACCGAGAAGCGTTTTTTCCGCTGTCGCCCAACCTGTCGCTGCAGCCCCCCCTCTCCTCTCCTGACTCGCTCACAGACGACCAAGTCGATCCACTCCGAGAGAAAAGCGATGTCTACGACGAACTCTTCCACGAGATCTACGAAGACGATCCCTCGGAGGTGGCAAGGACCTTCCAGCCCCTGTTCATCCGGTCCCCTGCTGACCCCTACTACCATGTCCCCCATGAAGGCCAGTGGATAGGCTCCCCTTGGGTTCCCCCGTTCTTCTTGGTACCGCCAGGAGGCGAGTTCGGCGGCCCTCCGCCTCTACCAGAAGGACTAGAGTACTCTCTTCCAGTGCCAGGATTACATTCTCGCCTACTGGGCAACGCAACGGATGAACCAGTGCTTCGTGGACGCTCTCAGCTCGGCTTCTCTGAAACAGGAAGCTCAGAAGAGCATGAGAGCTCTGAGCAAAAGCGTGGAGGAAATGTGAACCGAAGCATTTGGGACAATTATTCTGGACAGGATCAAGGATTACATCAGCAGCAGCAACCGAGGCAAATCGACATCAATCCATATCAGTCAAGGCAGAATAACCAGCAGCCAGGAGGAACAGCTAAGTATCAATACTATCCATTCCTATTCCAGAACTACGGAGATCAGCCAATTTATAATTCAAATGCTCGTCAGCCAGGCAAACAACCGTCTCAGCAGTACCAGCCGCCGAAACAGTACCAATCCCCTCAACAGTACCAATCCCCTCAACAGTACCAATCCCCTCAACAGTACCAATCCCCTCAACAGTACCAATCCCCTCAACAGTACCAATCCCCTCAGCAGTACGAGCCGCCGAAGCAGTACCAGCCGTCGCAGCAGTACGAGCCGCCGAAGCAGTACCAGCCGTCGCAGCAGTACGAGCCGCCGAAGCAGTACCAGCCGTCGCAGCAGTACGAGCCGCCGAAGCAGTACCAGCCGTCGCAACAGTACGAGCCGCCGAAGCAGTACGAGCCGCCGCAACAGTACCAACCGCCGAAGCAGTACCAACCCCCTCAGCAGAATCAGCGGCCTCAACAAGTACCTCGTAAACCGGGTCCATCTGATTTAGCTGCTAAAGAGGCTGGAATCTCCCAAGGACGCCCTTCACCTGGAGGTCGCTTCGAAATCGTGCAAATAGAGGTGAGCACCACCAAGCCCAAGACCTGGGATGAAATGAATCAAGCATGGGTGGACCAGACCAAAAGTCCTGTTCCCCCGACGACAGCAAGACCCAGTCCCAACCCAAGCACGGCGAAATCTGACTTCAAGGCCGGCGAGAAAGCAAGTGGAGTGGAGATGCAACCAGCGGTACCGGGTGGCGGCTCAGAAATGCAACCAGCAGTTGCACGTGGCAGCTCATGGACTGAACCAGCGGCACTGGGTGGAGGCGCTCCGACAGAAGCAACGACGATCCCTGTACCTGCTCCACTCGACACCAACTCTATTTCCTTGAACGAAAGGGCGAACGAGGTGGCAATCGGCAACTTCCTCAACGAACGGGTGCCTAAGGAATCCTCTAGAACTGCGTTGCTTGAACCCGCAATGCCACCCGTCGTAAGCAGGACGACCTTGGACATTGATCCACAAAGGGAAAATCCCAGCGGGACCCATGCCTCCGTAGACTTCAGAGCCCTCGACGTTGAGGGGACAGTCGCTCTTCCTCCCTTGGTGGCCCAAGAAATCCCCCTTCAGTCTCGGACCATGATCGACGACAGAGATAAATTTAATTTGCAGGAATCTCTCATCCTTTCATTAAAGGATCCCAAGGACTCAAATAGCCCGGGATTCTCACCACCGCGAGTGAAACGACACATCACCCAAGAGAAAGCAAGATGCGGCGATCCGGCATCTATATGGAACGGCGTGGTGGACTGCAAAGACGCCAGCGACGAGATCGGCATCGACTGCCGCGCCCTCGTGAACGAGACCCAGAGCGGAATGCGAGAAGACTCCCGCCTCTGCGATGGCCACATGGACTGCCCCGACGGGGAGGACGAGCTCGGCTGCTACATCTGTCCGGGTGGGAACCTCTGCCCGTCGTGTCTCTACGGCGCCTGCAGCAAGTGCGACGAGAACAGCTTCTCCTGCCACGACTTCCTCGACAAGGAGGGCGTCTCCCAGTGCTTTAGCAGGGAGCAATGGTGCGACGGAGTCCAGAACTGCAAGAATGGCCGGGATGAGGAATTGTGTCACTTGCTCGGCGACCCCGGCGAGAAGCTTCCTTTGCTTGGCATCAAGAGCAAGGGGGTGCTGCATCGGCGCTATCGGGGGAAGTGGAACGTGGTGTGCAGCGCCGGGAATCGGGGCGATGAGCAAAGCCTCGCTCAGCAGGTGTGTAAAGAAGGGTATACCAAGTTCGAGGGTACTCCTAAGATCGAGTACCAGGGGTTTCCTCATGGCACCTCGGTCTTCATGCGATACACAGCAGGCAAATGGAATTTGGCGAACGGATGCCCCAACAACCGCGTTTTACAGATCGAATGCCCCCCACCTTTATGCGGGTACAGGAACAAATTGGACGTGAGCTACGAAGACACTGGCAACGAGCACAACCATCCAACCCGTCGGAAGAGAACCTTCAACTCGGGGCGTATCGTGAACGGGACAGAGAGTTTCGCCGGGGACTGGCCCTGGGCCTGTGCGCTCTACCACAACGGGATCTTTTTCTGCGGGGGCTCCCTCATCGACGGGCAGTGGGTGCTCACGGCTGCCCATTGCTTCTACATATGGAGAACGAAACAGGGGGTCGCGCGGCCCATCTCGGTTGACACTGTGCATTACACGGTGATGTGTGGAGTACTGAGGAGGCACTCGTTCGCTCCGCCGAAGCAGATCAGGCGGGTGGTGCAGATCTTCAGTCATGCGCAGTACGAGGGAGCTAGCAAGGCGGACAACCATCACTATCACAACGACATCACGCTGGTGAAGGTTGACGAGCCGTTTCACTTCAACAAGTGGTTATCGCCAGCCTGCCTGCCGTATCCGGGGCAGGAGCCGGTGGCGTCGACACCGGGGGAGGCGCTGTTCGCGTACGTCGCCGGTTGGGGGATCACAAGCTGGGGCGGTCACGAGTCTGACAGTCTGCTGCATGTGGGTCTGCCCGTCATTTATCCGTGTCCCGGCGTTGCGAACGAGATTCAGTGCTGTGCTGGCTTCCCCGAGGGTGGAAGGGACTCCTGCACTGGTGACTCGGGCGGGTCCCTCACCGTGTCCTATGGGGACGGCGACGACAGTCAAGGTCGGTGGTACATCATAGGGGTCGTCAGTCACGGGTACAAGTGCGCCGAGCCCAACAACCCCGGCGTCTACACCAAGGTGTCTGCGTTTCGGTACTGGATGGATGAGATCATGTCCGGGCGCTCCAAGGTCAAACCGAAGCTCCCCAGCAGCACCTGCGGGGACTTCGTGTGCGACGGAAACTGCCTCGGCAAGCAGTACCTCTGCGACGATAAGGTCCACTGCTTAGGCGCCGTCGACGAGACCCAACCTAGCTGCAATCGACCCCCAGCCCCGTTTCGTATATCTGGCTACTCTCAAGAGCCGGTGATCCCAGCTGCCGCGTATCAGAAACCATCTTCTCCGAAACCGAAACTGCCCAACCTACCCGCGGCACCCACACAGATTTGCCAATCAGGAGAATTCAGGTGCCGCACCACCCCAGGCTGTATCCCCAAGTCCCAACTCTGCGACATGAAACGAGACTGCATGGACAACAGCGACGAGAACGGCTGTACCTGCGGCGATTACTACCGCAACTCCAAGACCCGCAACCGCATCTGCAACTACTACCCAGACTGCCGCGACCACTCCGACGAAGCCCTATGCCAGCAGCAGCAGCGGAGCCTCGCCGACGACGGCAGGAAGCACTGCTACAAATCCGGCAATGTCTTTCTCGACCGAACCGCCTGGTGCAACCAAGAAATGGACTGCCCCAACGGCGAAGACGAGACAGACTGCTACAGCTCCGCGACGGAGTCCGACGGCCAGCTGCGCATCGCGTCTGACAAGCTCGGACGACCCGTGCCGGCGCAATGCGGCTTCGTGGTCCGTCACCAACCCCCTTTCCAGCCGAACAGCTGGTCCACCGTGTGCTGGCAGAACGCGACGTGGCAGGAGATCCAAGTCTTCTGCTGGTATTTCGGCTACGAACAGCTTCGAGACGCGACCTACAAGCGACAAGGAAGCGACACCTGCGACGCCCTGTGGATCTGCTGCGAGAACCGCTTGCACGGAGTCACCCGGCCGTCCCCGCGCGCCATGACCCTCCGAGAAGAAGAGGGGAAGCCGTGGCAGTTCCCATGGTCGGTCAACGTCAGGGTGGAGGGAAGGATCGCCTGCGGGGGGACGCTGGTCGGGACGAGGTGGATCCTGACTGCTTCTGCCTGCGTGGGGGGATTCTCGTGAGTTCCAATTCAAATGAGGTCATGGGGATTTTTCATGGCTCGGGGCGACCTAGTTTTTATTTTTTGCATTTTCTGTAGGCCCAAAGCTCATTACATGACGGGGCAGGTGGGGCTCGGAGAAAGTCTTCCATTCTTGGCTCCTTACGAGGAGTACCAGAGGGTGGACTACACGGTCCGAATGGGAGAGATCACCCTTTTACGAGTGGAGAAGCCATTTTCGCAGACGGATTACGCCATTCCACCGTACCTGTCCAAGATGAGACCGCTGAGCCTCGAGACGTGCGTGATCTCGGGGGTGACTGAGAAGGGGCTCCGGTTTTCGAACGCGACGCTGCAGAACTGCAGGCCGGACTCGGACACGCTGTGCCTATCGCTGCCCAAGGATTCGGCCTGCCAAGCGCACTGGGGAGGCCTGGTGGTGTGCCTGCAGAATGGATACTGGCAAGGAGTCGGAGCGTTCCGCGGATGCGAGGCGGGGCAGGTGGTGCAACCGATCGGGTTCTTCTACGACGGACTCCAGAGCGCAATGAAGACGGAGGCGCGAGGGGTGGTCGGCCCAGAGTGTCCCACCTTGAGGTGCATCCAGGGATTGTGCCTGAGGGAGCCATTCGTGTGCGACGGGGTGCCGCACTGCAGGGACCTGGCCGACGAGAGCGAGGAGCGGTGTCAGGCGAAGAGTACCAGTTACTGCAATGCGAAAGAAGGTTGCGAAGGTGAGGCCGGTGTTACAAGGTGGTTTGGTTTTTTCACGGGTCGGTTTTCGTAGGTATTCGAGGTTGAGCTGGGGTCGTTCTGGGTTTGGTTACGTTACGTCGAGTTACGTTTAGACTGCCGTTGGGTTATGTACGATCGATCCACGTCTGATTGGTCAAAATTGGCAAAAAATTCAAACCCTATTACTAAATTCGTGTTCTAAATTTCATCTTGATGAAATTTAGAATGGATTTTTGATATTTTTCCGAATTTCAAAGCATGCCATATTTACGAATTTGGGATCTCAAAATTTCCTTGTGCTAAACAAAACTGCAACATACAAGCCTTTGCTGAATTGTTGTAACTCAATATGTATAATTACTGAAATGCCATGTTGCAGCTTGCTCCGCTGAGTCCCCATTATACTTTTTTTTTTAATCCAAAGGTGTTAAAAAAATTGATAAATTTCCACAGGGCCTCCAAAAAATTATACGAGGCACCTCAAACTGGTAAGTAAATATTTAAAAAGTAAGTTGCGACGACGCAAAGCCCCCACCCTCAGTTGTCTAAAAGCGACTGAAAGGATGTGAACATTTCGGATAAAATAAGTGACTTCGATGCGGACTGCGCAGCCAAACCTCGAGACGGGCCCGAGCAGAGGCTCTAAACGAAAATTCCTTCCCGCGCAGGGTGCGATCCGAGTCAGTTCAAGTGCAAGAGCGACAACTACTGCCTCCCGGAAGTCCTCCGATGCGACGGGCGACAAAACTGCCCCGACGGCAGCGACGAGCAGAACTGCACGTGCACCCAGCTCTTCGGTCGGATGGCACCGGAGAAACTCTGCGACGGGCGCCTGGATTGCGAGGACGGAAGCGACGAGGACCCTGTCTTCTGCGGGTGCCCTAAGGGTCAATTCCGCTGTCACAGGTGAGATCCCCTCGTGGTCCTCGGGTTGGGGGACTCGCGATGCTCTGGAAAGTCCCGGGATGTCATAGGAGTGGATCGAATGCCTTCGATTGATATTGGAGATCGAGGCAGAGTTCGTCTTGCGAATGACGGTGAAGTGACAGCGGTGAAGATGTTAGAAACTGTTGAAAGTAAGCTTAAAAGAAAAGCAAGTCACTGAAGTGCGATGGGAGACGTACAAGGACGTAGCGGGCGTTTGGTACGGGGCAGGGCGGGACGGGTCGACGAGGTGTGGGATAGTGAGGCTTATTCGTGGGCGGAGGGAACATCCTGCAGTCTCCAATCGGTATTAGTCCGTCGGTGTGGAGACTTAGGTGCGATCAGACACCACATTTCATGAGTTTGTGCTGAAGCATCAAGGCAACGGCGTCTGAAAAAGAAAAGAAAAGTAAGTTTATTCTGAAAATTTGACGAGTTAAATGCTTCAGCGCTAATTTTTTTGCAGGAATTTTAGTGCAACTGTGTTGGGAGAATGAGCCTAATTTGAGTGCTTCGTTCATCGGTGAAAACGTGCCTGAAGCGTGGAATTTTTTCTTGTGCAGGTCCTCTCAGCAAGGGCCGTACGGGACGCTGAACCCCCCGATCTGCCGTCCGCTAACGAAGACGTGCGACCTGGCGAGAGACTGCCCCCTCGGCGAAGACGAGGAGTTCCGATTTTGCACGGGCATCACCAATTCCTCGGTTGTCCGCAACAACACTTTGGGGTTAGAACCTCCTTTTCTCGGTATTTTTTAAATAAGCATTTTAATTTGGCTCTTAAAATGTGCGTATCAGTGCAGAGCTATTGTCGACTCGTGTGGAAATATTACAGTTCGACCTGTCTATTTTTTTTTTTAGTGCTCACAGATGTAATTGTGAAATTATTTGATTTTCGGAATCGACTGTAGTAACTGAAGCATTTCGATCCGAGCTGAAATTATCTGTAAGCGCATTAAGGGTCTGCGCGGTGCGTCAGTATGATGCTATGGCACGAAGGCTTTGACAAAAAGGAGTAAAAAAAAGGCATTTTTTCTACTCTTGCTCCTTTGGATGGTTCAAAACTCTGGGAAGCATCAGGAAAATCGATAATGGAGAATTTTCGAAAGCCCATTTGATGTTAAACGAGGTCTACCCTGCGTCTTCCTGAAACACCTACATCGCACTAAGAAATGCCAAAACCGCCCTTATCCTAGGCGACCCGAACTGTAACTGTTCCCTACTGCTCAGAGAAAAAACTTGCCCAAAAATTGCTTCTCATTTATACAAATCGAGTCCGTGGATTTAGCGTGTTTCACGGCCCACGACTCTTATTTCCCTCAGGATCCCACAACCGGACCCAGCCGGCTACCTCTACGCCCGATACCAGGGAGTCTGGTACCCGTACCCCTACTCGAACCAGACCTCGAGGAACATCGAGCCCGGCCAAGCGAATATGATCTGCGAGAGACTTCACGGCCGGTCGCTTGCGTCCCAAGCGGAGCTGGTGGCCGTGCCGTGGCCAGACGAGGAGCCGGGACCCAGCCGGGCCCGGGGGGCCATGAGGGACCCGTCCACGAGCGTGGCGTTCATCGATTGCAAGTACGGGGTATCGGGGGGCAACGTCACGAGTACCAGATGAAGTCTGTTTAGGAATTCCCTCCCGTTTTCGTCGAGTGATATGAAACGTGATTTGATGAGTGTTCCAGCCGCTGCCAACCGGACTGTTCAGACTTTTTTAAGCGATTTTTCATCGTTTTTACTGTTTTAGGGCGTTCGTATATCCCTCTTTTCAGAGGTAGGGCAAGTTCTGTACTTTTCGAGTTTTATAGTTTTATATGAATAAATATATTTTATGGGTCTTTGAAGCCCTCCCAGTCACGCCTGGAACCCATTTCATTTTGAGTTGAACATACAAAAGTTTTCAACGAGAAACAATTTTTTTTTTACTCCGTAAAATCGGTGATATTTTAAATTTCAATTTCGATATACCGCTTCTTACAAATATAAAATAAAATTTGGAACAACCTAACTCATTCAAATCGCAAATGATTTCTGCATTTCCGGCGGAAAAATCCGCAGTTTTCGCTGATTTATTTTCTTGGAATTCTCTTAATCTCTCAATTTTCCAGCCGTCTCAAATAATTCAAAAAAAGTCAGGAACTTTTTCCTCGGTGTTCTTTTACCTTTTCTTTTATTCTTGGCTTATCAAAGAGTTCCAGACTGTCGGAGATAGATTTCTAATATATTTAATTAAATTGTTCGGGAAGGCGGACACGTTTCAATTTCCTTTTTTAATACTGAGCGACGATATCGATATCGTCATGTTATCTTTCGGGGAAATCCGGGAAATTTCCCGTTCTGACCGCTGATAGGGCCATCAAATATTGGCTTACCGTGATACGATCGTCCTGCATGTCGGCTTTTCTGTCGACTTCCATCAAAGGAGGGGGAAAGAAATCGATACTCGCCCCTTTCCGATAACGATGAAATCGAAAAGGGTCGAAAGAGGGAAGAAACACGTAAAGTCCCGAATCAATTATCGTCCAGCCCTCTTCATTTGCATATTAGCTTCTTGGACCATGATTCGAGTCGGTCTAGCTCGATCAGTCATCTGGCAACACTGATGAGACATTTGTGCCGTTGAGGAAAGTCGAAACATTTTCTAGTAAAGGGAAGATCGGTGAAAATGTCGAGGCGCGCATTCCAGGTCGTCCTCACGCGAAGAAGCTTTTCCGGGTCACCCCCAGGCGGTGGACCACTCGAACGGTGGACCACTCGAGCGGGGACGAGCGATCCCGTGTCATCCACCGGAACGGATGACGAGACACAGGAGGATGTCAGTCATCTGTCGGCCCGGCCGGGCCGACGACGAAGCCTCCAGATTCGTTCTTGGGAGACCGTGACGGAGTCCCGAGTGAGCGATTAGCCGCAGGTGACGTCACGTCAGAGATGAGTGATGAGGAACGAAACGATAGTGCGGGACACTCACGACGAGGTCCCTAACCACCCTTTGCCTACTCCCCCATGCTCCCGACACGCTTTTATTTATTTATTTTTTTTTTTTATCTTTTGAAGTCGTGCAGTGTGAGGTAGCCTTACTGTTCGGATCTATTCGATACATTGACCGAAATAGAAAACATAAATGAAAAACATAAATGAGAAATGAAAAGCATGATCGTGCACTTCTCTGAAGTATGACTTCTCACTCTTCCAACTCGAATTTTGACCACCTCGCACATCCAAGCCCGCAGCACCCTGAGCCCCCTATTTGCATGTGCTCCGAGCCGTCAAGGAGGCAAATCCCGACCAAGAAGTTGTCACGTCAAGGTAACGAGTACGAACCAAATAAGAAATTCTTTATAATGTGGGTCATGGTAAGGTCATTCACATATCTTCAGATCTTCGGGTGGCAATAATGAACGACCCTATGCCCGTCCTGGTGCACGTCCTGATGCCCGTCCTGGTGCACGTCCTGATGCCCGTCCTGATGCCCGTCCTGTGCACTCACCTGTGAAACAAACAGTTCTTATATGAACCTCTCTCGACTTCTCGAGGAATTCAGACGGAAATAATAAACTCGAGAGTACCAGACCAGGTACCACTGCTATCACGAGAATTATTATATATATTCACCGCATCCTAACCATCCAACCTTGAAATGAAGAGGAGGAAATGGAGGGTCGCGGCTGCTCCCGGCCGCGATCGGTCGCGGCGGTTACTGCGGGCAGACGGAATGAAAAGAAAAAAAAGTGAGGGACCGACCGCAATATCTGGCATTTCCCCATAGTACCTATGGGAATGCCAGTTAAAAAAAACTTTTTTTTTTTTAGAAACGGTTCTTCTTTCCGAACGACAAGAAGGAAAGAATCGTTCCACTTCTCGGCTGTTTTTTTTTTTTTTTTTGTTCGGACAACCCGAATGACCCGAGCATTTTGGAGCGTGAGCCCCGCGCTATTTCGGGTCGGACAATTGGCCTTTTCGGAATAAAAATCGCTGAAGCGTGTTTCCGCGCGTGCAGCTTCGTCAGGACGAACGTGATGCATTTTCTCCCTTCGAAGAATGCGTAATTCCTTCGAACGCACGATTGCCTGTCGCGATGCGATTCAGTGTTGCCGGATGGGTTGCAGGGTTGCTCGGGCGGCGGGGATCGCGGAAGCCTCTCGGGGACGAGGGAGAAGGAAGGGGTGAGAAGGGGTGAGAAAGGGTGAGAAGGGGTGAGAAGGGGGCGTGACGTGACCCTTAATAAGGATCGCCGTCTCGCGAGGAGCCGATTTTCTTGGAACCCGAGGCTGCGCCTGTTGGGACGCCTGGGGAAAGGATGAATTCCGGGGAATTCCGGTTGGGGTCGTGGATGCCTCCGAGGGACGTGGATGCCTCCGAGGGACGTGGTTCGGACGACATCGTGTGGCCTTTTGAGATGTCGCGATTGCCGCGAGGTCACTTTTGTCGCTGGGCGAATGCGGAGGAATGGTGCTTCCCACATTGGAATCTTCCAATTAGGAAATCGGTTGGATTGGGAGAGAGGTGGGGGAAGAAGGAGGAGGAGGAGGAGGAGGCAGTGGAGGGAGGTGGATGGCATCGGGGATTCTTCGAGTTTGGGCAGGCCTCGCGAGAGAATGGGCCACGGCCCGATGCGAGTGGAAGAAGACGGTCTACGTTTCTCGCGCTGGGGGTTCTTGCAGCCTGGGAGTCTGGGGGGGATGCCCCCTTCCGTCATTCGAGAGGTGGCCCGGTGCCTCCCTCCCCCTTTCCGCCATTCGAGGGGTGGCATGGCAGCTCCGGGGAGGCCGATCCTGTTGGCTCCACGTCTGGCCGAGTGCAAGCGTGGACGACCTTCATGTCGGCGGCTCAGATTAGACGTACAACACGGCCACGTCCCCTCGAAACCTATCGGCGGTAATTGATATTGATGAGATTCTAAATGGAGAACGGGCCGTCATCGGTCCCCCCCCAAAAAAAAAACAGCCTAAGGCTATATTTTGACTGAGAACTGCCGACCCGGCTGTCCTCTCCGCTTATTTACTGAAATAACGATTCCTCATTTCGTCCGAACGATCCGACAACCCTGACGGCCCCTCTCGGGCCGGACTCCATCGTCACAGAAGTGACGGCCTGCATCGAAAGCACGTTTCGAGTCCTCTAACGGTGCCGAAAACCAGAGCCATTTTTCTATCATTCTCTCATTCATCCATCATTCTCGCATTCCATCATTCGCGTGAGATAATTTCTCCAGCCACGCGAGGCAAAACGGAAAAAGGGAAAATACGCCTCGGCGAAAGAGCGATTCGGTTTCGAAGTTATCTCCTGCTGACTCATTTTATGCTTCTGTTCGCCCGTCGTTTATGATCCGGTTTATTCCTCGTTTATGATGCAGCTCTGACGTGCTGCAAAGCAGGGAGACCAGGGGGAAAAATTTTTCTAAATGCCTTCCATAGTTTCTCCCTTCCCCTCCGTAGCCATTTTTTTTTTTGGCCTTCGACCGACGAATTTTACGCACGACCGAGTCGACGAAAGGAGCTTCAGCAGTTTATCGGACTCGTGCCGAAGTCTCGTTCAAACTGCGAAAGAAGGACCTCTTCGTAAACCGATTTCATTTCCGGGGGATTCGAAAGAAATTTTACGCCGACCTGCACGCCACCAACGAGCAGGAAATGGACGGATCGCTGAAAGACGCTGAATTGGCCGATCCGGCGAATTCAGCGTCTTTCAGCGACCGAGAGCCAAAGAGAGCCGTGAAGGAACACTAATGGTTTCTTTTGAGATCAGAAATGACGCAAATAAAGAGGGTAAACGACTCGTATAGCTCAAGTAAGCGTGACTGCCAGGGCCAGTCCCCCACCGGGCCCCCCCCCCCCCCCCCCCCCCCCCCCCCCCCCCCCCCCCNCCCCTACCCACCCCCCCCCCGGCCCCCCCCCCCCCCCCCCCCCCCGCCCAAATACGGCGGACACGCAAGAAAGAGTGCCGAATAGAGTGGGGTCTCCCCTCCCCCGTCCTCCTGCCCTCCTGCTACGCCACGTAGCCAGGGGGTAAAGGAGGGAGAAGGAGAGGGAGGGGGCTGGGGGGAGGGAGGGGGAGGGGTGCGCTATGCGAGGGAGAGGCGAAGAGGGCGAAGAGGGCGGAGAGGGCGGAGAGGGCGGAGAGGGCGGAAGGTCAATGAGGAAAATAATGAACCTCCTCTGATCCTCAGCGCAGTCGACGGTCTCCAAGGAGACGACGACCGAATTGCTACGAGGTCAGTATGCCTTAGCGTCCGGCGTGTTCGCCTGTTCGTCGCGTGTTCGCCTGTTCGTCGCGTGTTCGGCTCTGAGCTGGCTCGCTCTCGAATAGGGTCGCGGGATTTTCTTATCGACGAAAATCCGGGTCGCTTTCCCGACGTTTCCGATCGACAACGGATTCATGAACTGCTCGCTAGACGTGAGAAAAACTAAAAAGGATCATTTTCTGAGCGGAGTAGAGCCTGAATATGACGGACCTTGCCCTAGAAAACGGGCTGTCCTAGATTTACTGGGACAAATTGGCCAATCCCCCAGAGTGAGGACCGGGCTTCGCCTTTGCCCGATTGTAGGGAAATCATACTAATTTGGGGTTTTTGGCCGAGCATCTTGAGTGGGGAGGGGAACGATGCACCAAAGCCTTTTTTTCCCCCCCCGAAGGAAGGAATTTAAAGTCTCGGCACGAGGGTGAAATATAAAAATCTAAACTGAAGGTCATAAAAATCCAAGAATCGGCAGCAATTGAATTCGCACCAGACGGAGCGAATTCCCCGCCGCAGGCCTATCGTCTGAAGACAGATGAAACCACACTTCACGATTGAGATATGCATGAAAAATCGCCCCCTACGCGCAGCCCATGCCCTATTTAGGTATCGGCGTGACCCCTCCGACCGATCGCTTCGGTCCGACTCCTCTCACCCCGCGAACCATGAACGAAAATAAAGACGGGATGGGAAACGGGAGCCAGCCGGGCGAGGAAGCGGCGCTTATGACGAGATGGAAAGACGCGGGGAGACTCTCACGGATGCACCCGGGTGGATCCTCCAGCCTCTGGCTAGCAGACGACGCGCAGCGGGGGGAACGTGTTGACTGGGGGACGAGCGGGTCGAGTTCAGCGCCCTCTCATTCCCGTTCGTCATCAATATGGCTGCCTCGATGACTGAGCTAAGGGGAAGCACGGTCGAGTTCGCTGAGTTTTTTCCCGGAATTTCTTTTACGTGTGGACTGGATGATGTTATTCGAGCAGAATTAGGCCTAGTGGTTGAAATGGGGCTAGGTTGTCAGTCTCAGGCCTACTTTAAGGTGACATGAGTCTATGCGTTGTGCTTAGGCTATCCTCATACTCACCTGAAGGGTTACGTTAAGCCTCGTATCGGTGATTCAGCTGCATTCTGCGGTTCACCGGATGAATTTATCTCGGCTAAGTTTGACGATTCGATTTCGTATTGTACATGCTATCGCTCAGCTCCCGGCTCCGTCCCCCGCTTGTCACTACCGGATAAACCGGCTCATTGTAGGTCTAGAATTCGAATTCTACAAGGTCTAACGTTAGGTGTGTGCTTAACCTGGTCCAGGTGGATTTTCACAAGTAAATTTTCACTATTTAGATTAAAGTGAAACTTTGGGTTGGGATATGATTAAGCTGTTGACTTATTGTTAGACTTAATGTTAAGCCAATCTAATGTCCATGGTTCCATAAGCATTTTGAGATGAGGGTATGGGATACTGGTATGCCTGTTGGCAGAAAACTACCCAAACTGGAAAGAACCCAGAAACAGAAGAGAGGTGAAGGATATAGAAAGAATTTCATGAAGGAAGGCACAAGTGTATGATAATCTTAGGGTAGGATTGGGGAAAGAGTCATTCAGAATGCTGAGACCCTACAGGATTTGATAGGATTTGATAGTTATATCAGCAATCTTTGTTCTGATTCATCATGGTCATGCATAAGTTCTATATTTGAGTTAGTGGGGAATCTTCAAACCCTAGTTCATCTCCACGAAGATCTGAGATGTAATTATTTCAGGCACTGCTTGCTTGATTTGTTTGTTCACATTTCCTTTATAGTTTATAATTGAAAACATTTAGAAGTTGCTAAATTCATCTCATTCACAAAGTGTGCTATTGCTACAGGTAATGAGAGGTGCAAGCCGCTATGCAATGTGTATATATGTGATATAAGGTAAATTCAAACTGATTTTGTAACTTTTTATGTTCGTGAAGTAGCCAGATTACTTTTGGATAGGGTCATGTAGCAAATTATATTGAAAAAATTTTAAAATCAACTAATGTATATGTATTTCCATGTGTGATAGCTATTGCAGCTTATTTGTGGCATATGCTTTGGGGATCTAGGCCTGGAGGAAACTGGTATGAGCTGATAATGATGTATGAAATGGGAGACATGTTACCATCCAAGGTTGTATGACATCTGCATTAGCTTCACACATGTGTGCCCAACCAGACATCAATAGTGGTGCTTTGCCATACAGCAGTTTCAGTTAATTCATATCACCTTTTACATGAACTCCATGTCATTGCTATCATAGAAAATATACCCACCAGAGGAAGTAAGTGAGATCAAGTGGAACCAGGTTCCTGTACTTCTGTCAGTGTAAGAAAGGTATTCTCACAAGCATCTCAAGAGGGAGCAGGAACATTCTAGCTTCTTGCTGGAATTATTGATCAAGCAGGCTCCTGCAAGTAATGACCAGGAATGAAGGAGGGTGAGAGGTGTTCAATTTAGGTTTTTCTCTTTTGCAGGTTGACCATTGGATATGATTCTATATCTTGGGATGCATCTAAGAAGTAACATAGCACAATCTATGGGTGGTATAAATTCATTTCTAAAGGGAAACAGTAGAGAAGGGGTTGCTAGCAAGTAACAGATATGTATTGCAAAGACAATGATGAGGTAAAAGGGATTGGTGGTGAAGGCCTGGTGAATCATAACCAACATGCCTTCAATTGGAAAAAAGCTTTTCCATAGATCAACCTATGAAACAATTTTTTTCTATGTTCAGTGTCCTTCTGACTATAGTTGGAACTACAGACCTGTGACCTACATTTGTTAGCCTAATTATATTGAGGAATCAATTTTTTTTTTGTAAGATCCATGTAATGAATTTTGTCAATCCTCTTCTGAAGCTAGCCTAATTTTCTGGCATTCCTTGCATAGTCAACCATTTAGTAATTATTAGGGACCAGATTTTTATGTATTTACATGTGCTATAAGTAAGCAGGAAAAAATGAAGTAAAAATGCTAAAAATTGTGAAGGAGGAGTCAGTTCAAATTTAGGAAGGTCTCTGGGTACCCTTGGTTTGTGTAAGGTTAGCTCATAACTATTCTCCCTGGACTTATAAGAAGCCAAATGTTGCAAAAGTGGAAGGTAATTTTTCACGAAGAATGTGAAAAAAAATTCACAAAACTTTTATAACTTTCATGGGCCTATTATTGCGATTATAATTGTGATGCATTGATATCAGTGGTTTCTTTCTGAGCTTCCAATTTTGATTTGTTGATTCAAGATTAAAGACTGAATGACTGAATCTCTAGTGGGCTTGACCCTTTGATGAGTATGCCAGTATATATATGGGCTGACATCCTCCTGCCCTCCATGTATTCAGTACGGGTGATCTAGGCGTTAAAAAAAACCACTCCTCAAAGGGTTAAATAGATCAGCAAGCTTTCTTCATATGTGCATTGTAATGAGTTTTATTTTTGCATTGATCAGAAATCTAAAATTTTCAGTTAAATACTACTTGCAGCATCATAGAAAGACAGACAGGCTGGACAGGATCAAAAGTGGTCTCTATTTTTTCCAGGAGTCCTACTGATAAGTATTACATGGCTTCCAGTTAAGCCTATTTGAATTTATAGGTGATTTCTTCTATAGGCCACAATTGACACTGGCACTGACTGATGGTCATGAAGAAAAATTGGCCCACCAGCCAGATGTGGCCACAGGTACAGTCCTAGTTAAATGTATGGGTGGTTTGTGAAACAGATGAATGGGACTTATGAATTATGATTATATGGCAAGAGAAAATTATTTTAAGTGAGTGTGGGTATTGTGAGTGTCTATGTAATGTATAGCTGATTAGATTTGGTTGTTGTCTCTGTGGGACATGCCTCTGGAAACCATTTTCCATGCAGGGTTCCAACAGTTAATATACCATACTTTAAATTCATCTAAGGCAAATGATGGAAGAGTAAAAAGAGTACCATGAAACACTAAGTGTTCATTGGTCATAGAATATTCAAATTTCTAAAAAGCAACTTTTCATTTAAAAAAATTTGATTAAAGGAAAGAACCCTGTTTGGGGCTCCACTTTCATAATGACCCCATTTAGTGAGAGTACCTTTAAGTTAAATTAGAAGGTAAAGCTACACTAATAGAATTCACATTCTGGGTGAAAGTTTTTCTTTTTTTTTCAAATTGATTGAAATAGAGGGAACATTGAGTAATGTATTCTTTTTTCATTTGGAGTTGCAACAGAATACTCTTCACTGTGCTTGGGTATAATTATGATACTAGTATAAAGCCTTACTAATATCTTACTCTATAAATACGCTGAATTTAATTCTCACAATATTTTTGTAGTTGACCACAGGTAATAGATTTATTACTAAATAGTCAGCTTTTAATAAATCTCCAGCATCCAAAGACCAAATCATTTTAGCATTATGGTGAACATCAGCCTATCAATATGTTAGAGGCCTCCACTTGGTGCTATGGTGTGATATCGTCTCAGTCTCATTTAACTTGCATTGATCAATTTCTTTCAGGTTGTGATCTCCCACTTCTGAGGCAGATTTGCATGCACAATAATCTCATGGCCTCAGTGGCACCTTCACGCCACAAGATGGGTTCCCCAGTGCATGGGTATCATCTCCAATGGAATAATCACCAGGAAAGCCTTATCCATAGTTTTGAAAAACAGTTTCAGCTTGAATCTTTTGTGGACGTGACAATTTATTGTGAGGGTCGACCAGTGCGTGCTCACAAGATGGTTTTATCGGCCTGTAGCCCTCTCTTCTACGACATTTTTTTATCTCATTCTGACCGCCATCCCATCGTGATCTTGAATGATGTGCGATTTTCGGATCTCGTGACCTTAATGCATTTCATGTACAATGGAGAAGTGGAAGTGCCGATGGAGTCGCTGTCATCTGTCCTGAAAGCAGGCTCATCCCTAGGCATCAAGGGTCTGGGGAGCTATCTCATGTCACCAAATGGTCAAAGTGAAAGTTTGGACATTGAAGCGCATGATGTGACTAAAGTGCCTCACTTGGACCGGATTCTCAGGGACTCTCTAGACTATCCTGGTCCTTCCCAAAAGAAGTGCAATGCAACCCCATCCTTACGTCGGATCATGGACTCTCAGGAGTCAGAGCAGTTTGCACTCCCCCATCTGTATTACCAGTCACCAGAAGGAGCAGATAGGACAAACCACAGTGAAGCCAGTCATGTGAGTGTGGAAAAAAATTATTTCCTTGCATCTTAGCTGCTTGGCCATAACTAGTAGGGTCTAAAAGCAAAAGCCAAAAGGTATGCAAAAGGTATTAGCAGCTTGCCCATATGTGTGTAATCCGATTAGCCCTTATTTCCACCTTTTCGGGGCAGAAGTGCAATAACTGCTTTTAATGAATGTAAGTTTAATCTCTATGTTATTGAGATTTCAGACGTGTATTTGCACAGACTGCTTACATTTTGAACTGGATTAAGAAAGGTGCTGTGGGCCTCAAGGTTGTGAAGATGTCTTTATCCCTTCTGAAGATGGAACTGAATGGTAGCAGTAAACAGTAGTTTTTCATGAAGCATAATTATATGAAGCTTTTGCATATTCATAAACCCATTGGCATTGATACACAAGACCATCTCATAGTATCACTACCAGGCGCAGTACTCCACTACTAGGATTAAATTTCATTGAGTCCTTATGTGAGTTGGTGGAACCACCTTCAAGCATTTTTAAGCCTTGTACTCAAGCTAGTTCTAAAAAAATTGCATTTTGTAAAGTATTGGTTATTTTTCAAAATAAATGCTAAAATTTGGTACACAAATGGTGTAATAATTCCAATGCCAATGTTAATGTCAGTGACTTCCTAAACAACTGCAAAAACTTGATTGCTGCTTCTATTTCTTCTGCATAGAAAGACTTCCCTATACAGAAAAGTCATTCATGACTTCATGCATTATATACATATATGTTCTGTAATATATATTGTCATTTATTAATTGATTGTCATATCTTGTTACTGGAACAATCTGTATATGATCATTTCTGGAAAACCTTACTTGACCTCATTGAAAGGCATTCAAATGAAAGATATGGTACCATAGATGTGTTACCTTTTTAACTCTGATGTCTCTCTCTTTTATATAGTGGAGTGTATTTGCATCATATCTGACTGGAGACATGTAAACAGAAGATCTGGCCTGAAGTATATGTTATATACATGTATGACAATCTTAGCTTGAGAAAGCATGAAAATTGTCTTCAGCAGCTATGCTGACATGTGGCACTTCATCTGGCACTTTAATGGCATCTGATATTGAAAATGTAAAACCTTCTTTCATGTACTGTAAAGGAAACATGCTAAAATAAGAAGGTTCAGCATACTTCCCTGACTTGTAGAAGTAGTAATACAGTCGACCCTCCATATAGCAAAAATCTATATTATAAATTTTCTTAACTACAAATTTTTTTTATTGTTCCCAGCCATTTTCCCATTCACATGCATGGTGAAAAGTCTCTGTATAAAGAAGTTCCTTATAACAAAATTTCTGTTTTATGAAGTTGCTTTTTCGTCTGAAGGAACAAAACTGTTATGTATTACGACGTTAAAATCTGCTGCACATTCACAGCTACTTTCTTCTGTGCATTCCTCAAAAATCTCATCTGGTATCTAAATTTAGTTTGTCCTACATACTTGTTGGTGTGGCTGTTGTAAGGGAACGATGTCAATCAGTCTTAATCTTCTCAGGATCAGGCCTAGTCTAGATTTATGCTTGGTCATGCAATTGAAGCCTTCGACTATCACTGGCTGTTTTTTGGCCAGGCTGAATGTTGAGCATGAAACATTTAAACCTTGAGTGCTCTGCAGATCATGGCTCAAAGAATCCTCCAGGAAAGTGCACGGCTGATGATCAGTTGGGACTTACATAATTTAGGTACATATATAGCACCTGAGAGCTGAATTTCTGCCATATTTCATGCACTTAGACCTTCACACTCATTTTATGAATGGACAATGACTTGCCTTTCAACACCAAGTAACATTTTGAAGCTATATTGACAGAAGTTTAACTGGTTTCTCTTCTTTTTTTTCCAGGGAAATGAGAGAAATTCCCTATAACAAATTTTTTTTTAGCCCATCCCTTCGAGTTTGTTATATGGAGTGTCGTCTATATCAGAAAAGGCAGGTCTTTGGAGTTGTACAAATTGCACTATGGCCTGTCAATGAAGTAGAGTCAGGAATTTTATTTGAAATGTTTATCACATTGGGAAACTGGGATTTAGCTGTGCCAACTCTCAAGTATGCAAAATTTGTTTCACTTCTAGATCCACATTTTTTGTAGGTAGCTAGGTTCTTCAGATTTTCTGCCTTGATCAATGTGCTACATGTAGTTGTGTAATGTTTACCATTGCTTCATTTGGAAACGTATGGAAACAATCAAACAGGATGTTACATCCGATTCAAAATAACATTGCAGATCTTACATGATATGTAAGTTGTGCTTACAAGTTCATCAAGAGGAAATGCCTAATTTTTTTGTTAAGGATTCTATGTGAATCCTTGCACATGGCTTTATATATGTTTAAGATTATATTGTTTTGCAGTAAACATGCCTTTATGTACAATACATGAGAGACATTTGTAAGGTTCATACATTTCAGCAGATACATGTTCATTTAAGCAGGTGTCCATACTTAACACCTAATAAGATGCATATGCTGCTTAGATGGTATATGTAATGTATGAGTAATGTTCACCTGGAAAAAAAATATTTTTAACACATATATTCTCATATATGAAGCTTCTAATTTCAACATGTGAGCAATACATGAATATGTATAGCGTATATATTCCATATGGGTTCTTATGGTTATGATACAATGACAATGTGACATACAATGATAACGATAATATGATGATGCTACATGAGTAAGTCCAAAGACACTGCCCCTCAGCACAGTTCTGGTTAAAATATTGGCCCTGCTGATGATGCATAGCAGGTCTTAATGATTGTCCTCTGCTGACTCATCATTGGAAACAACTTCTCCAACTTATCCAAAGCTTAGCTTATTGATCTAGCACAGATCCAGCACAGTTTGGGGGTGCCAATTCAGATATGACCATTATCAATAATTATTTCTTCAGGATACTCATTTTGATATTTTTTTGGTCGAAAAATAAAAGAATGATTCTGGCCTTACATAAAATCCATGAAATCTGGACCTGTTATTGATCCAGGCCTAAATTTTGGAAGGGCCATTGATTTATTGATGTGTATAATTCAATCCCTGATTATGATTATTATCTTTTCTATTAGCTAAGGGAAGAGAAAGACTGAGAGGCTAGAGCATTCCTCTTCTCTGAGAGCTGATTTAGAGAAAGGGGGAGAGATATTATTTGGAGAAGGGGGAGATATTCTTGGTCTGCTATGGTGAAACCATAATTGTTAAACAGTATTGTTATGTCAATCATTACTTAGCCTCCTGATGTTAGTTGAAATCTAATACTTGGTATAGGTATCAATATATTTCTAGTACTGAATGATGCATAGTTTCCCATTCCTCATCTCATTTCCTTTGGATACTGTGATCCTTTGAAGAAAAGAATTCATTTTCTTGTGAACCTAAAATCTGATGTTTCCATCCCATAAGGTGCATGCTTACTCAAGAACAGATGTAAAACCTGTGCAAGGCTAAATTAACTTGACTTACAGAGGATTGCTTCTCACAACAGAAGGAGAAGAGGGAGACGGACGATGAAGGAGAAGAGTCTCGCTCCTCAACTGCCTCTTTTGATGCGGGTGGGTCGCATCCATATGAGACAGGTGGAGAGGGAATGAGTCACACAAGAGATGATGCAGACGATGAGGAGGAAAGAGATGATGAGGGTGAAGCAGGAAGGTCTGATGGTACCAATCATCTCACCTGTGAGATCTGTGGGAAGGAGTCCAGGAACTTCAATGATAAGCGGTTACATTTCATGTCTCATACAGGTGAGTTCAGGTGCTCTCCAAAAGCCTTCAAAATCATTTATGTGTTTTAAAATCATTCTGGTTTCTTGTGCTAAATTCAAATGTAACTAGTGCCAATCTAATGCATGAAATACAAGGAAAGGGCCCAGAATCAAAATTAATGTCTATCAAGGCAATTATTCCAAAGTGCTCCAATTGCTCATGACAAAGGCAACGAGAAGGCATGAGAGATTCCGTGCTCATACCAACTTTGATCATGAGCAGCTACATGGCCAAGCATTAGTAAATACTAGGTATCAAATGATTCGATGTACTGACTGTTTCATTAAGTAGGCTTATTACTTATGAGTTGTGGTCATAGGAGAAAGAAATGGATGGTTTTAATATTTTCTTTTACCAAACAAATTCTCTCCATGATTAAATTACATTCCACTCTTATCATCTGACAATGAGTTGGCAATAATCTAAAATTGCATTGCCTTCACTTGAAAATTTGGGAAAAGTTTATCAGTTCTCCATTCAATTCTCAATTTCTGTCTTGGAGCATTGCACTTGCAGTACACTATCATAGTTTTTTGCTTGCTTCAATAGAACATTAACACATTGATGACCAGCCTATTTTTGCTTGTCCGCCGCGTGGGACCACGCGCATTTTTTTATTTAGAAAAATGCGTCCTGCCATCAGGACGCATGGTCCCAGAAAACATTTTTTTTGCCGAGTTTTTTTAAAATGTTGAATTTTTTGGAATTTTTATCAGTAATTACGAAATCATAATCTTCTGGAACGTTCTCAACAGTTCCAGAGGGTATTCATTGAAAAAAAAATCTGCATCCTGGCATCAGGACGCATTGTCGCCAACGTGTTAATTGTATGTTTCAGGATAACATGCTTGCTTAAGACCTTAATATACGTCAACTTTAGTAATGTTGAACCAGGATGAATGAATGAATGATGAATAGGTTTAAAAGGAAATTAATCATGAGCTCATGGCAATATATGACCCTTAGAGCAATTTATCTCACTTGTGACTATGCACGGACTCTCTCTTAAAGGTATGTTTGGTTGACCTCCACTGGATTGACATTGTGTTTATTTGTCTTGTTTTATTGCCTATATCCTCATGAACTGTAAGCTATAGTACCAATGGCATATTTTTATTTTTACAGGAGAAAAACCATATCAGTGTGACCAGTGTGAAGCAGCTTTCCGTCGCCCATCCCACCTGGCTAGGCACCGTCTCATGCACACAGGGCTGAAGCCCTTCTCTTGCTCTCTCTGTCCCAAAGCATTCACACGCAAAGACAAACTGAAGCTCCATGTGGAGATGAAACATTCACATAATTCCCCCACACCAACACGAAAGCCTCGGTCGTCCTCAGCAATGACAGCGCCACAGCGTCGCCATCACCTCCCACGGCTTCCGTCTAATGTGGCTCACATCATGGAGAGCTTGGATGCAGTCATGACGCAGCCAGGGTCTTCTTCCATGTCATGACTTTCTCAGGAATCTCACCCATGTGCCTAGTATTAAAATCAAAAGCACTTGTAGGTTGTTCATCTTTTGATGAGTTTTGAATGTTCACACTTAAATTTAAAAATAATTATTGCAGATATCTTGCAAGTGTTGCCATCAGGCGTCAGTACATCATGCATTGATAATTGCATGTAATAGAAAGTATTGGTGCTTTGAAACCCTTTTTTTTTTATCCCAGAATTTCAAAAACTTGACACTCAGGGAAAGTTCAAATGATACCTGTATGTTTCTGTTATAGGTGTCAGAATCAGTGTACTGATGAGATTTGGAAGTTAATAGTAATGCATGATGTGAAAATCAAGCGAAGCCCTGATAAACCAATGAACAAAAAGGAGAACCATTGAGTTAGTATACTTACTTCTCAGGTGCTTCTTAATCCTCTTGAAAGCTGTGTGCCCATCTGAGATGGCTGAGAGAAGTTGTTGATCAGTGTCTGGTCTGCAATTTGTCACAACGAAGCCAAATTGAAGTCATTATTTGCCAGAAGAGGAACAAGAAAAGTTTTTTACATGCAGGGCATGCTTGTAGAACTTGTAGGTATTTATTCTTTTTTTGTAGTGATCCCTCTTTTTATGCAGTGATGCTAATGTGCCAACACTGTTCTTCCAGCGATGCCTGTTTCATCATGCCATTCCATCTCAATACTTGGAGATGATCTATTTTGTATATGCTTCAGGGTCTGTTTCCCAACATTCCACAGCACAACCTGTTATATACCAGTAATGAGGAAATATTTTAGATTTTTCATATAAAATGTATAATGGAGGCATTATATTCAATAAAAAAAAAAGGACTCTGCAGTTATCGTGCTTTCATGTTGATGTTTCGTAATCATCAAGGTTGTACATTTATGTTCCTAAAAATGCGATAAGATGTGAGAAGCTATCACATCTTCAAGCAAAATGCTTGCCTTTTATCGTAGAGCATTGAGTATCAGGATCTCTGGTGCTGTTGTGATATTAATTTTCATGTCTGTAATCAGATGAGGAAATGTGTGTTTCATTCCCTCTTGTCAGAACAACAATACAATGGACTGCAGATGTATCCATTCTTCTGATATTCACTGCCCTTGGCCTTGGGAAGCAGAAAACAAAGCTGGATCCAGGTCAGTGTTTTGTTTTGCATATCATTGTGGTTCATGGATGCTGGTAGACATGACATGAAGCCATTACTACTCATTCAGAACTCTCTACTCTGTAGTACTGTTGGTCCCTCTCATGGAGAAGTACTTAGGTTGCTTGTAAATGTACAGAGAAGTGTGTCCATGTGAATCATATGCCAGTTGCCTTCTTGTTGTGATGCTAACTTCTCTTCAAGTCCTTCTAATGCCAGGTTATGAATAGAGCTGTTAGTGTATGCTGTTGCAATCCCTTATCTCTGTTTTTGAAAATTGGGTTTGATCTTGAGTTGAAGTAAAGTCTGGGTTAGTTCAGTATTCATCTACCAGCTCCTAATGTCTTACATATTTTAAATATGGGCCTAATTGATAATGTGGTGCTTGTGTTGACTTTCAGTGCTGGAGAGAGTTGGCAAGGCAATGAGGATGTATTGGACATGAGCATGTATTGGAAGGATGAATAGCATGAAGGCTTTACAACCTCAGTGTGGGGGAGGGGGGGGGGGGGTTATCTTCCCCTATGCTCTTGGAGGAAAAGAAGTCCTGGCTTCTTCTCCCACTGTACTACTGTGATGCCAGCCAAGCAGTAGATTATCAGGTGGGATCCCCATTGTCCCTGTCTCCTTTGTACCCCTGAGGTAATGGCAGGTCTTGAATCAGAATTATTTATGCATAACTTGTGACTGTCATATTAGTCTGTCAAAATCACTGCACCATGCACTCATTAATTTTGGACTAATGATGTTCTGCCTCTGATCATATGACTGATCCCCTGCTGCTACTGCTTCCTATGCTGCTTTAGAACTTGTAGCTTCTTTCCCCTGCTGCTCTTGCTTTCTCTCTTTCTCTCTCTCTGCTGTGAAATCATGTACCATGATGGAAGGTTGGACAGGCTCTCCAAAATGCTTGAAGCATCACTGGATGCTCTTAGCTGGAAGTGGTGTAGTAGAGCTAATGGAGAATCTTCATGCTCATCCCCTTAATATGTTCAGAGAGTGAGACATGCTTCAAATAAGCTGCTGGAAAAAAATTGGGTCAGTGTAAAAATAGTTGTTTCAATGATTGACTCATGCTTTTCTTGTATAAGCTTTTTTTTGCTTCATCATTGGAAATAGTGTGGATGTTGTATATTGAGGGAAGTGATGCAGCCAAGACTGTGACATAATTGCAAGGATAGGACAAATTAATTTCACAGCATGGGAGACTGTAATTGTGGAATGCATTTTCATTTCTCTGATGTTACTGTTGCCTGATTATATTGTGATAAGTTGGATATCACCATAGGAGAACTCCCCAAGAAGTAGAAGGTTTTCCTTGGTTCATTTCCATGTATGGAATAGTCACTAATGAGCATTGCCAAATGACAATGTAACTGGCTCTTGGACTGAAGTGCCCTTTGACTCCTGGCCTCATGCTTCATTCTGATGTTTGGACCCTCAGGTAAGCCCTTGAATTTGGGGACAGAGCTTTAGTTTGTTCTTTGCCTCAGCAGCATGGTAGAATTGCATCAGAAATTTTAATGGATGTAGATAAATATTGCTATTAGTGCCTGCTTCTTGAATACATATACAGGGTGACTCAAAAGTCCTTGGACACCTTGGAAACCAACCATATTTTTATGTTTAAAAAATATCACCATTTGAGGCAATAACCTGCTTCAGACGTTTTGGGAAATCATGTACGGTTCTTCACAACTGATCAATCGACAATTCATTCCATTCCTTCAGCAGATCAAACTCCAAGCTATTGATACTCTTGTGTGGCCTGCAGCAGACCTTGGCCTGCAAGTAGGATCACACACTGTAATCCAATGGATTCAAATCAGGACTACTAGCAGGCCATTCTTCTGGGGAAATCAAGTCTGGAAAGTGAGTAGAAGCACAAACACCACCCCACACCATCACACTACCTGGTTTTTGAACTCGATGGACATATCGCTGGTGAGACTTGAAAGAGGAAAGCTTTTTACCCCAGAGGCGAATGTTTTGGGGGTTGTTAGCTTGCTCTACAGTGAAAATTTTTTGTCAGAAAAAACAATCCTTTGGAGTGAGGACTGGTTAAACCGTTTGAGCAACTGGCGGGACCTTTGAACTTGTTTCTTCTTGTTGATCTTTGTAAGCAGCTGCACCTTTGGTTTTTTAGAAGACTTTATGCAGAGCTTTCCCCTGATGCATCTTCGCAAGGTCTCTTTGTCCACTTTCAAGGTTTGCGCAAGCTTTCTTCCAGAATGCTCTGGATTTCGGTATAGCATTTGCCTGACTCGTTTCTGGAGCTTCTTATCCTGGAACACAGAAGGACGTCCACTTCTTTGGCGATCTGCTGCTGATCCAAGCTCATTGTATTGCCGAATAATGCTGTTATAATAATGCTGTAGATCGAGGGGTTTTGGTGAGCTTTCAGATCCTGCTTGCTGGAAGACCACTCTGGTTTTGAAAAGTCACTGCTTCTCTTTGATGTTTGGGAACCATTTCAAGAGCTTTCGACCTGGAACTTGGAAGGCAAATAGATCTGTAGTAGATGTTGCTTCACTCAAAAAATCACCTGGCTATCACTTGTCCAACGGTTTTTTCAATAGGTGTCCAAGGACTTTTGAGTCACCCTGTATGAACAATCACTTAAAAAATGAATCCAATGTTATTATTCAACTGTATCAGTTATAGTTCCATAATTGTTTTGTTGTGTTCTCATCATGTGAAAAGTGTCATCATATCCAAGATAATGCATATTTATAAATAGGCTTGGGGAACACTGACAACATTTGAGGACAGTTGAAGAGTGTACAGGCAACATCATGTGGCATCAGAACAATGCTCCTTCATTGATCATTTCTGCTGGTAAGGATCTGATTATCATGGAATTGCCCAAAGGTAATTTCTCCTTTTCATCACATTGCTGGTTTGCAGGCAGTGGAAAGATATTGCTGCAAGACCTGGGGTTTCTCAGATGAGCTGTGATGTGTTGGTGCTGCTCTTATCTCCTGTCTCTGCATGCATGTACCTGTGGACTGGGAAATTTGCAGTGAGGGGATAATATTGTCACCTGTTTGCCTGTTAATTTTCTTGAATTTATGAATGCAATATTTTTACATTCATTAGGACATACTGACTCTTTTGGAGTGCTTCTATATTAATCATGTATTCACAACTAAGGAGACATGTTTTAAAAATTGCAAGAATATGAAGGAATATGGAATTTGCAGCAAAAAAAAAAGAAAATATGTATAATAATAATAAAAAAGCCTAGACTGCTTCTTTTGTTAAAAGGTTTGTGACTCATCAGTTAACTCCAAATAATTTTTCAGTTTCCAGGCACATTCTTTTACTTGGAAACAAGTGTACAAAATCAGCAGCTCAGAATATGCACTTGGGTCAAAGGAAGCAGGACGTTTAAAAGAATATAGATTCACTGACAGGTCTGTTCCATGACAACTTGGTTTGCTGATACACAGGTTTTAGCTTAAGGAGCTTATTTAGTGGAAAATCGTTTCCCAGACAGAACCTATGACATTGAGCTGAATATCCTTATTCAGGTCTGACAGCTTTGAGACATCACATTTGAATATGTGAAGCCTTGGCTTTGCCTGGTCTTTGGTGTTCGTGCCATTGGTAATGGAACGTGTCACTACTGAGTTTTCCTGACATGAATTGAAGGTTGGAGGCCATGTATTCCATGCAAACCAGAGAGGAAGGAATGGAATATTGGCATAGCATTAATAGGAAGTGCTCTGTGAGCACTACTACATATGGAGTGGATTTCATAGAACAGCCATCTGAATCACACAATCATTCCAGACAAGGAGGGAAATGTGAGGAAGACTGGCAGCTGTGAACTGAAGCTTGTCACTTAGTGACTTCCACGAAGTGACAAGCTAAACCTGCTGATTCCATTTTTTAAATTGGTTGCTAGTTTTAATGTTGTTACAATCTTGAGTGAGAGACTTCCAGAACTACTGTATTGTGCAATGTCATTAAAGTTGCTGTAAAAATTGTAGATGTACACCTGATGAAATTTCTCCATAATACTATTCTTTTCTTGATTGATGATACTCCAACTATGTTTTGAAGTTACATGCTATACTCAAGACACTGCCATTGCTTCACATAATCAAATGTGACATTGCAAAGTCATTGGTATGAAAAGTTGTAGCACAATACTTATATTCTCTGAAATGGCTCTGATGTACTTCTTTTTATTCTGCTAAGTGATTTCATTTCTATGAATGAGTCATTATACAATTAGGTCTTGCCTAGAAAGTGATTTTCTGAGAAACACCCCCCACCCTTGTCAAATTTACATTGCTGTTACACGTTGGGCTAGGGTATCTGTGGGCCATTGGAAATATGTGAAATCTCTAAGAAATCTAGAAAACCAGATACTTCATAGAAAACTTGTAAAGCATTCTGTTTGGAACTCTAGGCAGTAAGGTATACATGTGATTATCCACAAGTGGAGTTGGATTTCCAACTTGGGACCTTGGTGTCTCTTCTCCACAATCTGCTGTATTTGTGACATTTGCTTCTTTATTCATTTTCCTTTTCAAAACTCCCTTCCCCATCTCTTCTCTATTCATTTTCCATTCCAAAACTCCCCTCCTACTTAGACAAAAAGTGAGCAGCTGGTAGGGGAAGACCTAGACATGGACTCAAGCAAATTCTTGGCAGAGACAATCACCCCATTGGAGGAGCTAAGAGAGAAGCCATCTGAAATGAGGACAAAAATGGAATTGCTGATTATGGAAGCCCAGGCTGATTTTGTGCAGGCACTTGAAGCCCTGGAAACTAAGTCAGAACAGCATTTCCATGTTGATCGATGGCTGCGCCCTGAAGGTGGTGGTGGAGTCACATGCATTTGTCAAGTGAGTTTTCTTTGATTTTGAGCCTTCCATTTTTCTATTGAATTCTCATCTTTTTGCAGTTCATCACTGGCACCTATTTTAAATGTTAAAAATCTCTGTAGGAGATTTCCAATGTCCGGTGTCTCTTCTTTGCATTTAATTTGAGTTATTCTTTCATAAGTTCCATGAAATTTATTACCTTAAACCCCTTGAATTTTATGCTGCATTCAATCACATTTGAGACCATGCTTGCTGTTCTGAGGTTGAGGATGAATGTATTTTAATGGAAGGGAACACATTGCTGGTGTATTTAGCATGATGTATTCTTGTTTGTTACCACAAAAAAGGATGGAGAAGTGTTCGAGAAGGCAGGGGTGAATGTATCTGTAGTGAATGGAGTGCTTCCACCCAGTGCAGTTGCCCAGATGAGAGCCAGGGGAAAGCAGCTGCCAGAAGGGAGGACCCTTCCCTTCTTTGCAGCTGGTATTAGCTCTGTGATCCATCCAGTGAACCCCCATGTTCCCACTGTGCACTTCAATTATCGATACTTCGAGGTCCAGGATGGTGATCAGGTACAGTGGTGGTTTGGTGGTGGGACAGACCTCACGCCATATTATCTCTATGTGGATGATGTGGTGCATTTCCACTCTGCCTTGAAGGCAGCTTGTGACCGTCATAATTTGACCTACTATCCAAAGTTCAAAAAGTGGTGTGATGATTATTTTCATGTGGTACATCGGGGGGAGCGGCGTGGTGTTGGTGGCATCTTCTTTGATGACCTTGACACTCCAGATCCAGAGTCTGTTTTTGCATTTGTTCATTCATGCTCTCAATCTGTCATACCATCATATATTCCTTTAGTGGAAAAGCGAGCAAGTATGCCCTATTCAGGTGAAGAGCGATTGTGGCAGCAGTTGCGACGTGGCCGCTATGTGGAGTTCAATTTGATATATGACCGTGGGACCAAGTTTGGCCTGTATACTCCAGGTGCAAGGATTGAAAGCATTCTCATGTCCTTGCCATTGACAGCCCGTTGGGAGTATATGCATGAGCCTACTGAGGGGACAAGGGAGCAGGAATTGTTGGAAATTCTCAGGGAACCTAGGGATTGGATCTTATAAATTGTATCAAGGATTAGGGTTCATGCAATGTTTGCATGTGCTTAGCAAACCCAAATGGGATCTGGAATTTGATGTAGCTCGGATGTTTCTTTAATTTGGAAATTAATATGCTTAAGTCCAACAGATTGGACCTATTGAGGTATTAAAGTAGATTACTGTTTGGGTTTTAAATACTGGAAGTTCTTGCTCTTGAATAGACACCTTCCATTCTTGGAGTCTTTTTTTCCCTAGGTATCATCATAGCAACTGAACCTGTATATGCATTGATCCAAAAAGTAAAACATTTCTTCCTCTTGGATATGAAGGATAAATATTTGTAAGAGTTGAACCTGCTGTTTCAGAGTGTCAAGAAGAGCAGTTTTCAAATGCAAATGTGGTTGATTATAGGAATCCATTCCAGCAGCAGGATTCAATTGCTTGTTTCACAAACTCCAATCATTCCACAATAGCTTTTTGATATGGATTGTCATTGCAACGTTTGCATTATTTTTTGGTACTGCAGAGGGGTAATTTGGGTTCGGTTTGTTATTCCCAAGTACACTTTATGGAGTAATTGCAATGCATTGGTTTTGTCTTGATCCAACTACTCGGGCTCTTAATGTGTCACGTTGGATGGACTATTTCATGATCATTAGGTGTGCTTGGTATTCTGGAGTATTGATCTCTCAGCTAAAATTGTGGTGGAGGTGTGAGAGGAAATGTCTTCCTTTCTTGTGTGCCTTTTTATTGGTGCATTTTATTGCAAGGTTTTTAAAATTAAATGTTTTATGTGTTCCAAGAATTTCAAATATGGAAGTGATAACTTGTGCCATGGTGCTGCATATAATTTATGTTGTTGATTCTTTCAATAGGTACAATAAGAGTTTGGAATATAATTGATTTTTTTTTTGGTTTGCATGCTGTATGCTTTTCTAAGAATTGAAAGCAGTCCCATGGGAACTGTGGTTCCTGAAGGATGTAAGCCCTTCCTGCTGTTGATTTTTCAAGATTTTACTGTTTTTAAATTTTCTTACTCTATTTCTCAAGGATGGTACTTTGTCTTTGAGCAGTTGGACATTCTGTCTTTCAGTTCTAGATGCGTTTTAAAAAAAAAAGGTATTGTACTCGTCATCTTGCACTAGTAAGGGAAGAGATATCATGTTTGCCTTGACCTGTGACTTGTTTCAAGTCAGTCAGCCTCTCCTTGCTCTTTGATCTGATGAAACCAGCACATTGGGTTCAGTGATTGAATGATAAAGACTTTTTACTCAAACTCAAAAGGCAGGGGATCAAGTATGGGTGGTGGTGGTCCCTTTTTTTTTGCCCACAAATACCGGTAACTTGCCTTTCTGGGAGATTGTTTTCCAGTTTGTATTCCATCTCAAAGTGATGAGGCTGCAGTATTTCTAAAATATTATTGTCAGCCATGGGCCTAGGCATTCAATCTATCAACGTAAGGCCTGCTGTCAGACCATTAAGTGGCATTTCTCCCTGAGGAACTGTCATAAGTTGCAGTACCTGACCCTGGCCAGCACCCTTTCTCACAGCCCAACACTCATTTTATTTGGTGTCTATCACCTATCTTTTTCATCAAACAGGCCAGTTTCCTGTGATACTTTGATCTTGATTGATGATTTCTTTCAGGTTTTGAGCTAAACCTATGATAAACCAGTGATTGCATTGCTCATATTTGCCAACCAAGGGAGCAAGTAGTGTGGCAATGAGTTCTGTTATGGAAGCAGGGGACCTGGAGCCCCTGCCAGGAAACCTGCAGAATGTCCTGGAGCAGACTTCTCTTAGGTGGGTGTTTGTGGGTGGGAAGGGGGGTGTAGGGAAGACCACCACCAGCTGTAGCCTTGCCATTCAGTTGGCCAAGGTGCGGGAGTGTGTCCTCATCATCTCCACTGATCCTGCACACAACATCTCAGATGCCTTTGACCAGAAGTTTTCCAAGGTCCCTACCAAGGTGAGACAGAGGCTTTGTTTCTGGCTTCATCATCAATGGCTGCATTATGATGTGATGAAAGAATGGCTCCTGTATAGTGCATTAGTCTCATTGGATGTTGAAGAAATGAGTGCCCTCTCCAGCACTGAATGCTTTATAAGGTCTTTTCTTGTCTCTTCTGTTGTGGGTCTGAGAGGAAAGTGGAAATTGAATTTTGAAGAGCCAGCTCTTGTTTACCACATACTATTGTCTATTATGCTTTTGCCAAAAAAAAAGCACAAAAGAGGAGAAATTGTTACAAACTGCTCATTATGATTTTATTTAGTTTAATGAATTGATGTTAGTTGAGCTTCAATAGTTTATTGTTGGAATGGTGTTTAAATGTGAATTAAGGCCAACAAATGGTGTGTCTTCAAAGCTTGTTCTGTTTTGGATGGGAAACCTCTGCTTCATTCAGATTGTCAATAATCGGTCCAAGAAAGTTGCATTCCCATTTGAAACATGACATTCCTATCCAGAAAATAAAGAAAATTGGGCATTCCAAGGATATTGAAACATCGTGTTCCCACCAATTGACTAACATTAATGAATCCATTACATCATTGTGTCACTCTGTTATACTTATCTCCCTCATCCTCTATTCTAATTTTGCTTTTTTTTTCAGAAGGATTTTGCATGATGCTGGAAAAATATATCTGAGGATTCATATCATTATTCCATGCCTTTGTTTTCAGGTGAAGGGTTTTGATAATCTCTATGCAATGGAGGTTGATCCCAATGTGGGGATGGGGGAGTTGCCTGATGAGTACTTTGAAGAAGGGAGTGATGCCTGGCGGGCAGGGAAGTCCGTTGTTCAGGAGCTCCTGGCTGCATTTCCAGGGATTGATGAAGCCATGAGTTATGCTGAGGTGATGAACTTGGTCAAGAGCATGAACTTCTCGGTGGTTGTCTTTGACACTGCTCCCACTGGCCATACTCTTCGCCTTCTTTCATTCCCTCAGGTGGGCATGATTCCATTTTTATTAGCCTCATGACTTGTTTTGGATTGTGGAGAGGAAAGTTTTGGCTGCCAAGCAAAAACTCAAATTTATACATGGAGGGGAGGTATTGCTGCCATCCCAGTGTTATGTCTAGAGAATGTAGTGTGCTATCTGTAGTTTTGACCAATATTGGTGTCACGTGGCAGGACTATGAGCTAAATGGGGAAATCCCTCATATCATTTCTAATGTGAGATGTTGGTCTTATATTGACACAATCTTGGCATTGATTTGTTATGGATCCAGCAAAAGTGGCCTTTAAAAATAAATTAGTTGCTAATGAGTGGCAAAAAATAGTTTAGAGATGTTAATTGGAAACTGACAGACTCTTGTTCAGAATTTGAATGCCGAGTTCAGAATTTGTAAGCCAATGCTTATGGCTACTACATTCCCAGATGAACATTGCACAGACAGGAGATTTTTTAATGAATAAATGCTGCCAATCCCCAAATTGAAATTATGGCAAGTGTCAGCATTTCTTAATTCCCATTGAAACTAGTACTCATTTGTGCACACCACTTCATACCTCTGTAAAATGCTTTTCCCGGTGATTCTCCTGGATCAATGTCCCTTTTCAATCATCTTCTGTCATCCATGAAGCCTGCTAATACTGTTGGCTGTATTCTTGAAACAGAGACACTTTGGGTCAGAATGCACAAACCTCATTTAGGGAAGATAAAGGGGCCTTTAAGCTAAAGAGCTTTTTCCCCCCATAGGAGTCCATGTATTCCTGAAGGACCATAACTAAAGGAGGTTTCAGCATTCAGGCCTTATCTGCTAAGTGCTATGGAAACTCCAGAGATTATAACATGCAAAAAGTATAAAGGTAATGGAAATATCTTTTTAGGAATAGAGAAATGAAGTAGATTGCAGTAGTTTTCACCCATAAAAGATTTCCTTGAGTAAGCGTGTTAACATGTATTTAACATATAGAAGCCATGCATTCATTCTGTTTTCTTTGCTGTTGGATCAGGAGGTTAGAACACCTTTAATTTTGGGCCAGCAAAGCATAGGAAGGAAATGTCTGAATTTATTATTCATTATCTCCTAGAACACTGACACTTTGTTGATGGAATATAGGAATTCATGATTCATGTGGCATAGAGGTCTCAGTGTTTATTCCATAGTTGCTCCTGGACCTCCTGCTTCACTTTGTCTTGAACAAATTTTGAATCATGAGTGGTGTCTTCAAGTGGGCCAAATGAATTTTTGTCAGAGACTGTGAGATCCAGACTCTAACCCTTTGAAGAGTATGCCTGTATATTTACAGGCTGATGCTATCATGCCCTCCTTATATTTTCTATGGGGGATCTTGTAGGCATTAAAAAAAACCACTCCTCAAAGGGTAAATTATGATATGGGAACACCCCTTATAAGTCCTGCTTCTAAGTTGTTATTCTGATGGTATATTGCTGTCATTATTGCACCAAATCAAAATGCCTTTGCTTGTTTGCTCACAACCCTTCTCTCTGAATGCAGCTTTTCACTCTTGCTACTGGCAAATCAATGCATATGGGCAGCTGAGGGGGCATATGGAGCTCTGATATCCTCTGTGAAGTCTAGACCTCACCCCCCTTTCCACCATGTGTTTGGGTAGCTTAAGGACGATAGACTAATCTGCAGCTAATGACTCATTAATGACGAAGTGGAAAATATGCAGGGTCGCTAGAAAAATCCTCTATGCTGCAGGAACCATGGAGCTGATGGACAGGGAAAATATTGTGCCAGTTTTGTTGGAGATAATGCTGGGTAACACCAAGCTTTTCCTTTTTGTGCTGTGCTTGTGCTGCTCTATAATTAGTAGTGTCTTTAGTCCATGATTCCCCCTTGTGCTCTTTGGCAGGTGAATCATGTCATGCAGGTGAATGTTTCAGTCATTAGGTATGTGTTTTATCTCCCGGTCAGGATGCCATAGATTCTTAGAGTAGTAATAAAGCCATGATAAGATAGAGGGGAATGAGATGAGGTTTAGATAGGGCTTGTTATCTGTTATGAACTATAGAATGACGCACATCCTGTGCTGTTTGGACCTACTAGGTGGTGGAGAAAGGACTTGGGAAGCTTTTGCGTCTCAAATCCCAGATTTCCCCCTTCATCAACCACATGAGTGGCCTCCTTGGCTTGCAGGACTTCAGTGCTGATGAAGTCTCACGCAAGCTTGAGGACACCCTCCCAGTCATCCGGCAGGTAAATGAACAGTTTCGCAACCCAGAGCAGACGACGTTCGTTTGCGTCTGCATTGCCGAGTTCCTCTCATTGTATGAGACAGAGCGTCTGGTTCAGGAGCTGACGAAGCATGGCATTGACACACACAATGTGGTTGTGAATCAGCTGCTCTACCCAGATGAGCAGAAACCGTGTCGATTGTGTGTCTCCCGGTGTAAGATTCAAGCCAAGTATCTTGGCCAGATTGATGACTTGTATGAGGATTTCAATGTAACCAAGTTGCCGTTGCTGGATCATGAAGTCCGAGGTGTTGACAAGGTCAAGGCCTTTTCTGAGTTGTTGGTGAATCCACCCGGTAACCCAAAGATGCCACAAGAGTCAGGAGAGTCCTAATGCCTTGCTTTGATGATATGTGATTGTCAGAAGTTATGTTTTATTCCCTTGTCATTCAAGAATATTCATTTGGTGAACATCAAAATTTGTCAAATTTTTATTTCTAAAGGAAGGTAGACCTTTGACTTGGTGTTGATTTTGAGGATGAATTTTCTGTTGTACATAAGTTTATTGGAGTATTCAGAGGGGTTCTGCATTACTGGTGGTGAGCCAGCATTGATTAGAGGCACCAGAGACCTGGAATATCAATGACATTACAAATAATTCTCATCAGATCCATACAGTATAATTGAACTTCTTACTTGAGCTGCCTGGCTGTTTCTTCAGATACCTTTCTTCTCAGTCATGAGAGGGTAATTTATTGCATAGATGTACTTTTTTGAAATGTTGGGGTAACTTTGTGATTATGTCAAGGATTTTCATTAAATTACAGTATTTGTAACTGCTAGTGTCATTTATTGAGCATCTTGTTTTACTTTGTTTTCTTTTACTTTTTATCCAAGGCTAGCCCCCACCTCAACAATCTTGCTAATGCGACTTCTTTAAAATAAAAAAACATAAAGGCACCATGGTTGGCCTCCCTTGTGCCATTCAAGCCATCACTTTCAGATGGCTCTTTATTCACTGGTGCAAAATGCCCTATCCCGATTGTTAAAAAATGTCATTCATGATTCTGTGAGTCAAACCAAAGCTTTCTTTTCAGGTTTTTGTTATTCCCTTACTAGATAGGAGTGATTGCAAAGATCTGTATCATGAACACATTTCTACTTGTGATGTTCGTGGTGCTGTTGGTGCTCCAACCCATTCCCTGTGATATGACAGTGTGCCACAGATTGACATGGGATTCTCTGTTCTTCCCATGGTACGAATCCTGTCCTGTTTGGCTGAATCAAGCTGCAGAAATCAAAATGGTTTTAGTTGTCACATGTTGTCTGATGGATCGAGTGCCTGAAGCTGTGACCATGATCAAGTCGGCTGTGCAGTTCACCCCAACTCCATTCCACATTGTGTTCTTCACTGATCATACTGCATTGCATGTTCTCCAATCCCAGCTTCCATCTCTTCTCCCATCACATGTTACTGCAGAATTCTATCCACCCATGTTCCCAGGAGATGATTGGGCTAATATGTTTGCTCCTTGCTCATCCCAGCGACTCTTCTTCCCATCAATCCTCCCATTTGATGCAGTTCTATATGTTGACACTGATGTCATTTTCATGAGCAGTGTTGAAGAGATCTGGTCACATTTCAAGGCCATGAACTCTTCACAGTTTCTGGGAGCATCTCTTGAGCTGGAAGAGCACTCCTTTGGTCACTATGGCAGTGGGGCATCTCAGATCCCATTCTATGGGCCATCTGGCCTCAATGCAGGTGTCTTGCTGATGAATCTGACCCGAATGCGTAGTTTTGACTGGGGACGCCAGATCATGACCCTACACTCCAAGTATCAGAGTCAATACCATTTTGGTGACCAAGATATAATCAACATAGTTGGGCACATCCACCCAGAGTTCATTTACCTCCTGCCCTGTCGCTTCAACTTTCGTCCAATGCACTGCCTCAGCTTAACCCATTGTACGCGCATTGATGAAGACTCGATATGTACCCCCGACAACATGTGTAAGTCAGCTGGCGTCCAAGGTGCAGCAATCGTGCATGGGAATATCAAGATGTTTCATGGATCCTGGAGTCCATTTCGTGCCCTTTATGAAGCCATGAGGGATTGGGATCCCAACCTGGGCATCAAGGCACTTCTGAAACAGGTACGGAAGGATTTTGATGTCATGGACAAGGAACCATGTGCCCGCCATGGGAATATCATCACCAAGAGCCTGGACAACCTTGTCAGGAAACTTTCACCAAGTGAGTGCTTTTTTCTTAACTCATTTTTTTTTTTAGAGGCCTACCCCTTGAAGATGTAGATTTAAAAAAAATTTTAAATGCAGTTTTAGGCATCATAACTAACACAGGAGTCCAATCGGTCATGGGTAGCCTGTATCTTTCTTCAGATATTGAACTAAATTCTGAGAAAAACCCTGCCTCTGGACTCTGAAGTCCAGAGATAGGGTTTTTCTCTTGTGAGTAGTTATATATGTGGCTCAGTTCTTTCCATCAAAGTCCAAATTAACTATGGGTTTTTATGTTTTGACACCAATCACATTTAGAGGTAATGACAGTTGACATATCTCTTTTGCTTGTTTATGTGAAATGTGTTTTTACTTAGAAGCATGCCCATGTCATTTCAATAACCAGGCCCATAGGCATACCTTTGAATTTCACAAGCACTATAAGTATTGAGAAATTTATTTATTTTCTACACTAAAAGTGTTTTCTCAGGACTCAAGATCTGTATTAATAAGGTTAGGTTAGGCAGTTCTAGAAGAAGGGCTTTTCTTTCTTCATCCTTAACAGAAGCAGTGAGAAATGTTCTTAATTTTTTAGCTATGATTTCCTATTTTTATGAGTTTATGCATTTCACTTGACTTTAGTCAAGATGGTGTTCATAGTACTTTCATATCAGGAAGTTGTTCCTTCTTCCCTTCATTTCCAGGTGCCGGTGAGCAAACAGTCATCACTGTATTGTGTGGAGAAGACCATTCAGCTCTGAATGTAACCCTGTTGTCACTCACACTTCTGACCAAGAATCCATTCCGTCTCATTGTGCTGTCTGAGCAGATCTCAGCATCTGTTCTTGGCTCTGTAGCTGATCACCTCCCATCATGGACCAAGGTAGAAGTCAGAAGTTTTAACACAAAGGAAGTCTTTCAGCCAGACAGGAGTTGTTCTGCTTGGAGGTTCCTTGCACTTCATCTTCTTCAAGATGTAGATTCTGCAGTTTATGTTGATCCTGGTACAGTGTTCTTTACCCCTCTAGATGAACTCCATTCCTTCTTTTCTTTGATGAACTCTTCACATGCCATTGCCTTATCACTTATCGATGGAGACCCAGAATATGAACTCAGTGAATACACTTCTCAGAGTATCCTTCCATATTATGGGTCTTCAGGAATACACTTGGGTGTCGCCCTTGTCAGTCTCATTAGACTACGAAATTCAGCCTTCTTCCATCAACTTGAAAATATTCAGGCAGAGTACCCAGAATCAATTCAAAGTGATCAAGATCTCTTAAATGTTTTTCTCTCTAAAAATCCCGGTCTGGTGTTGGACCTCCCATGCCGGTTTAACTATCGCGAGGAGATGTGCAATTCTGTGTACCAATGTAATGATGTGACAAACAAGTCCACTTGCACCTCTGTAAGCTCCTGTGCAAGTGCAACCCAAGATGGCATTGCAGTCCTCCATCCTGCTGCCTTTCTTGAACAACGGGAGCCCATATTCCAAGCTGTGTTTGATGCTTACAAAGAGATCAGTCTGCCCCTGAATCCCTTTGCTTATGAGCAGCAGCTGGAATCCATGTTGGATAGCATAACTCAAGGAGATTGTTCAAGTTACTTGGAAGCTTTCATGAGAGACTTCCGAAAATATGCATTGATGGCCTCCTGAGGAATAAGTAAAAATAATGTAGGTAGAGTTGAGTGTCATCTCAACATGTTGAATATAGCTTCACATTTGTATTTTGAGGCTTTTCTAATTGTTAGCAAGGTGGAGGACACCTAATTGTAGGTATGTTTGATGCATATGTAAGACCTGGTTTCATGTACCTAAGCACATGCCATGACCAGATGTATGTGATTGGATCATATGAATGATTCTCTTTCTGTGATATAGAATGGTACCTAGCATAATTTGGTACAGAATACTCTTTGCTGGCTCAAGAAAATTTTTGTACGACTATATATTTAAATGGGGAATGTCTTAATTTTTATTGCAATCTTCATGTGCCATATTCCTGTTCATGATCATCAGCATATGGATTATTTGAGCTTTTCCTTTTAATTTATTTTTAACTCCAGGAATGTTGAAAATCTCCTTACCCTATAATTCATTGCATTCTTTAAGTTTTTGTTCTATTTCATTTTGTATTTTTGTAGTTTTTGTATTTTGTTGTTGCCAATTCTTATTTATGATGCAATGATATTGCTCTATAAATGCTTATTTCATGTTCATTGCTGACAGAACACTCTTTCAGAACTCCTAACTAAAGTTTTCAAGAACTGGTATGACCATACCAGAACCGCACTAGCCATGATGTATGTGACAACCAAGCCTAAATTGCTACCCCTACTGTTCCTAGAGGTTGATCATTGATGAATAAAAAATAACTTTGTATAGTTGTACTGATAGCATGCATCATGATCGCCCAACGATCACTGATGGACCTTTGCAGTCCCTATGCATATGCATACTTTCATATTATTATTCCTCTTAGTTTCTTTAGCAGAGGTCCTCATCTTGCATAATGAATGTTGGATTATTTGACAAGATGCAATCCATATATGGACATTTCTAATCAAATTCACCCCCTTTTTTTTTTACTTGCATGTTAGTTAATAGGAATATGGTTTTTTTTTTATTGAAGACATATTGTATGTGCTTATCCAGAAATTACCATAACATTCCCACCATGGATTGTTATGTTCATTAGCTTTTTCCCTGTATTCTCTTATGCTCAAGAATTTCCATTGATTATCAAACCGTGTGTTTGTTCTCACCCCAAAAGAAAAAAAAAAACAAAAGAAGGCCAGCCAGGGACATGCTCAGAATAATATTTAATATTTTTACCTCCATCAGGTAAGTGAAAGATGGTTCTTACAAATTTAAGCGTGTATTAATGGAGAATTTCTGTCATCTCTGGTGGTACAGATGTGAAAGTCACTTCCAGACAAATGTGAAATCGTGAACTGAACATGTGAGGGACACCTGCACTGGTGCAGAAGAATGTCCTTCTTGTCCAATTTGAAGAAGGTGTTTAATCTGGGTGCCGTTGACACAAAGCGCCGACGGACCTTTGATCACATCCGGACTGATGCCGACCCCAAAGATGTCTGGCATATTGTGGGAGAACTGGGAGATGGGGCATTTGGCAAAGTCTACAAGGCACAGCATAAGGAAAAACAGATCCTTGCTGCAGCCAAGATCTGTGAACTGGAGGACGAGGAAGATCTCAGCGACTTTACCATCGAGATCGACATCCTCAGCGAGTGCCAACACCCTAATGTGGTTGGTCTTTACGAGGCGTTCTTCTTTGAAGGGAAGCTGTGGATGTTGATAGAGTACTGTGATGGTGGTGCCTTGGATTCGATTATGGTTGACCTGGACAAACCATTGAATGAGCCACAGATCGCTTATGTTTGTCAAAGTATGTGCCAAGCCCTGGACTTTCTCCATCGGAATCGAGTGATCCATCGTGACTTGAAGGCAGGAAATGTCTTGCTCACGATGGACGCCGGTGTGAAACTGGCCGACTTCGGTGTCTCGGCCAAAAATCGCTACACCCTTCAGAAGCGGGACACCTTCATCGGCACCCCATATTGGATGGCCCCAGAGGTAGTGTCCTGTGAGACCTTCCGTGATCACCCGTATGACTTCAAGGTTGATATTTGGTCCTTAGGCATCACACTGATAGAGTTTGCTCAGATGGAGCCACCCAACCACGAGATGTCACCCATGAGAGTTCTCCTCAAGATTCAGAAATCTGAGCCGCCAAAGCTGAATCAACCACAGAAGTGGAGCCGCTCTTTCAATGAGTTCATCGCTACATGCCTTGTGAAAGATCCGCAGAAACGACCCACTGCTTCTAGATTACTTGAACATTCATTCATCAACCGGGTTCTGGATTCCAAGTCCATTCGGGATCTTCTTCTGGAGTATAAGGCTGAGATTGTGGAAGAAACATTGGAAGATGCAGAAGATGCTCAGGATGACGTGTCTGAAGGAGACGTGAGCGAGTCTCGTTTTTCCCGACTCAGCTTGAGTAGTGCATCAGGAACTGTGAAGGTAGAAGAGGTCCAAAACAACTCTGACAGTCCTAGCACTGCCAGAGAAGGACATACGCCCATGAAAGCGAAACCAAATCGTAAAAGCTGTGGAAGTCTGGATCGGCTTAGCATTGATTTTGACAGTCCCTCAGAAGTAGAATCTAGGAGACGAACAGAGAAGCGACCTGCTCCAGCACCTCCTATTCCAGTTTCACAAGTAGACTCCAAGATGCCGTCAAAGCCAATTGAGAAGGAATCCAGAAAGTCTGAGAATGAACCTAGTAAAGAGGAGCGTAAAGAAGTTGTTAGTGAGCCTACAGTGCCTCTGCCAGTTATCAAAGATAACTTTCCTTTGCCCATCATCAAAGAAGGAGTGCCTTTGCCCATCAGAGATGACTTGCCTTTGCCCATCAAGGATGGGTTGCCTTTGTCCATCAAAGATGGGTTGCCTTTGCCAATCATCAAGGATGATTTTTCTCCAGCGCCTTCCTCTTCGCCGTCCATGTCAGATTCCCCTGTGCCTGAACCTGTGGCTGATGAACCCAAAGATTTATCCTCACCGAGTGTGTCTGTAAGCATATCCAGGAAGGAAACATCTAACGAGAGTATTCCAATACCTTCGAATGATAATTCCAGCATCACCCAAGTAGTCATCATCAGCAGCGGAACCAGTAGCCCTGCCCCATCAAAAACAGATGATTCGGGGCTCCGCCTAGATGAGAGCGAGGTTGTGATCATCAACTCAAGCATGTCATACCCCAATGCACCCACATCAACTGATGATTCTGTGATGAACTCCGACAGCGGAGCGGAAGTAAGTCACGTCTCCATTGTGACCGTTGGCGATCGTGAGGAAGTGAGGGACTCGGCCGCAGCTGCTGAAACCCAAAGTAATGTGTCCAGCCTCTCCTTTGACACCCACTCCTTGAGTGAAAGGAGTTGCCCCTCTGGAGGGGATGAACCGCCGCAGACAATCATCCTTGAGGGAACCACTGTCAGTTCTTCCGACGTTGATCAACTTGATAAGGACCCTGGTCAGAACGGCAAGACCACTCCAAACGAAGTTCCCCTTGACCATAACGAGAATGAATCAGATGATGAGCCGAATGAAGCCCGGCCCCCAATAAAAGTGAACATCACCTTGGAGAAGACGACGTCTCTCAATGATGAGGAAGCAACAGAGATTCACACTTCGCCAGCAGGAAGTCGGCCGCCTTCTCAGCCCTTAAAGCGGCACCCGTCCCCAGATTACGATCGTGAGCCACCCGTGACTCCGTCCATTCCAGTGAAGAAAGAAGGGTGGGAGACAAACAGCGACACGACATCCAGCAGCAGAGGCAGTGACAAAGAGAATCTGCCTAGCAACGGCGAGCCCGTCCAGCTTCGTAAGAAGCCCTCCGCCACTGCCGCCGCACAGGCTGCCCGGGAACGAAACGCTAGGAAGGAGGAAATGAACCTAAAGAAGAAGACCCGAAAGAGGACAAGGAAGTTTGAAATCGATGGGGTCACTGTCACCACCACAACCAGCAAAATTATATATGGAGATGAGGAGGGAATGCTCTATGATGACCACGTCCTTCGCAAACAGGAACTGCGAGAGCTAAAAATGCTTCAGAAGCAAGAGCAGAAGCAGTTTCAGGATTTGGCCCTCAAGGCCCAGTTGGCAAGAGATCAACAGGACAGGAAATTTGAGCAGGACATGGGTACTTTGATCAGGCAATTTGACACTGAATTGGAGAATATGACTCGGACCCAAAAGGTGCAGGTGGAGAAAGCAGAACAGCAACTGGACATGGATTTGAGACTGCATTCAAGAAAGATTCGGGCTGAGCAAGAAAGGGAATTGAAACAATTCAGGGAAGGACTGAAGCATGAGATGAAACTTATGAAGCAGGATATAGAACGGATGTCGAAAGACAAGCGGAAGGAAGCCATGAAAGTCAGGAAGGATAAAATGGAGCAAGATCATGCCGAGCGAGAGAAGGCCTTCCTCGAAAAGCTGAACGACGAGCATGAAACGGCTCTGAAGAGGCTCAATGAGAAGCACCGTGAGAAAATCGCCATGATGGAGAAGCAGTTCCTGCAGCAAAAGCAGCAACTTCTCCGTAGCCGAGAGGCTGCTATCTGGGAACTGGAGGAGAAGCAGATCCATGACAAGCACCAGCTGGCCAAGCGACAGCTGAAGGATATATTTTTCCTCCAAAGGTACCAGATGTCAGTACGTCATGACAAAGAGATCGATCAGGTGAAGCGTATGAATGCCCGCAGGGAAGAGGAGCTCTTGAAGGCCCAGGAAATCGAGAAACGTCAATTGCCGAAACGAATCCGAGCCGAGCGTAAGGCACGGGAGATGATGTTCCGTGAAAGTATGAGGATTTCGGCTGTCAACATCCTGAATCCTGAGCAAGAGAAAGAGCGTTTGAAAAGGTTTCAGGAGCAGGAGAACAAGCGATACAAGGCGGAACAAGAGAGATGCCGATTGAAGCAGCTGCGGCAGTTGGAGGACACCCGTCAGATGGCGGAGGCGGCCGTGAAGGAGCTGGAGAGCATGCAGAACGAGAAGAGGCGTCTTCTCATGGAGCACGAGATGCAGAAGCTGAAGCAGCAGGAGGAGGAGTACAGCCGAGAGCTGAGGGAATGGCGAGCATTGCTCAAGCCTCGCAAACAGCGACTCGAAGACGAGTTTGTGCAGCAGCTATCAGAGCAGGAGAAGTTCTATGGGGTGTCATTGCGATCCAATACACCTGATGCGTATACTGCTGAGCTGTATGTCCCTGGCCGGCCTTCTTCCAGGTCGAGTGGCAGCCCTGCCCTCTCACTCCAGAATGACCCGATCCAGCCGTAACTGCTGAGGGACTCCCGACAACCCTAGATACAGTTTCTCAATCACCTATTATATTATGATCCAACCATATACTATGTTTTGTTGATGTTGCTAATATCCAAGCCTCAACGAAGAGGACATGTATTCCCACCTGAAAGCTTCCTTGTTGGCATTTCTCCACTTGTTGTGGAGTGCATTTTTTCAGAACTGGACATTAATGACTCGGGTGGTGGCCTCACTGAATCGCACGTGACCATCTCTCCTGTTGCAGACAAAATGGAGTAGGTATCAGACATGAGATGTTCAGTCGCCGTTGCCCCAGAATGGCCCATGCATTGACGTTCCTATGCCTCTTGGCTGTTGTGTTTTACTTGAGTGGCCGGTTGGAGGGGTTCAACGAGGCCGCTCAGAAGTACCAAGAAGACCCCACCAAACAGCCAGAGCTGGCCACTTGCGACAAAAACCTCTGTCCCAAGATGGTCTTGGCTCTGACTTGCTGCGGAGAATCGTGCATCGACGACGTGACCGCTTCTGTGAAGTCAGCTGTGATCTTCACCCACTTGCCATTCCATGTAATAGTCTTTGTGGACAATCAGTCAGCTAAAGCCATTCAAGACTCACTCTCAGTTGTGCTACCCAGTAGAGTGACTTTTCAGTTGCAGTCAGTGTCTTTCCCTGATCCGAAAAACGAGGAGCGTTGGCGGAAACTTTTCAAACCGTGTGCTTCTCAGCGGCTTTTCTTCCCGCAACTTCTGGCTGATCACGATGCAGTTCTGTACGTTGATACGGATGTGATATTGCTTTCTCCTCTTGAAGACATCTGGGCGTTTTTCAAGACCATGAATGCGTCTCAATTGGCCGCTGCCGCCCCCGAAACCGAAGACCCTGCGGCTGGATGGTACAACCGTTTCGCAAGACACCCGTATTACGGGGAAGTAGGTGTAAACAGTGGTGTGATGCTCATGAATCTGACCCGCATGCGAACCTTAAGCTGGGGCCAATACCTCGGTCCCTTTTTGGACCTTTATGGGAAAAATCTGACCTGGGGTGATCAGGACATCATCAACATCATTTTTCACTATCATCCCGATAAACTGCTGGTCCTGCCTTGCCGGTGGAACTATCGCCCAGACCACTGCATGTACATGTCCAACTGTAGGTCGGCCGAAGACCACGGTGTCGCAGTTTTGCACGGAAGTCGTGGGGCATTTCACGGCGACAAAGAAATTGAAGTGTTCAGCACCATGTACAACATCATCAAAGATCATCCAACAGAGTCGGTTGACGTTCGGGATCTTCGCGACAAGTTGGAACAGGGGCTCGAGCATGGGAATGCAGGTGGCACCTGCTTCAAAATCAGAAACCTTCTCATCAAGAACATCCAGCATGCCACTCCTTAGCTTAGTTTCATTCCTTCCATCCAGTCTTCCTCGCAACAGTTTGTGCTTAGAAGCATCCTGCGATTTGGGAACCTCAATTTGGGGCACCTAAAGCAAAGGGATTGCCACCATTCTGTTCTGATTTTATTTTATTGTTTGGGAATGAACGTTATTTGATTCGTAGAAATTGTTTCAATTGAGTCGGCTCCGACAACGCTTTGGCCGCTGCTGTTTAGATGGGCAACTCTGGAAACATGTGTTGCTGACTACATGATAAGAAATCCAGTGAAGTTTTCTCACAATGCAGACTGCAATCAATCTTGAGCACGATTGAACCTTGCTGATCAAGTTCGAACTTTCCCATAAGACGAAAAATTCTTTATTCAATGAGTTTTGTCATCTGCCGCATATAGCCCAAAAAAGACCCAACGACTTTCAAATGAAGTTTTTCCGCTCACACGTAAGGTACTTTCGCGAAACGTTCACTCTGCATGCATGAGTGTTTCCAACCGATTTTCAACATTTCTTTTTAATTTGTTGCGTTGAAGTAATACTATCAGCTATTATTTTGAAGCTAGATATTGAGAATGGGCTGGTAGTGCAGTTGAGAGTACACGATCGCTGCTCTTGGTCTGTAAGTCCTCGTCGAAATCCCCTTCCATTTAAATTTCTTCTTCGACCTGGTCGTCTCGCCGATTTTCATGTGCTTATTCTCAGTGAATAATGAATCCATGAGTATCAAACCGGAAAGCTTGCTTAAATTTAATGCAGAAGAAATTCCCATCTGCTTGTCCGCTTCCGTCTCGTTTCTGGAGAACTTGCAAAGATTCATACCGAGGTTACCAATAAAGCTTGGCCGAGCAGTGGCTCTTGCTCGGCATCTTCGGCAGGTCATCGGCATTGGCAGTTACGTTTGGTCCATTTATGGCTAGCCCATTCGGTACTTCATTGGCGGAAGGTGTTGGCCCAGTTAAGGCTCTACCCCAGTAGCACCCCAATATTGGATCAATATTGCATGCCAAGGAATATACGTATTGGACCATTATTCGGATTACTATCGATCCCCTTATTGGGCCGATGTTTGCGCTGCTATTTGCCCTTGGGGGAGTTTCCTTATGGTGAGCATTTTTCTATCTGCAGGACTGCAGAACTATCTAGTACTGCCTGTACAAGTATAATCATAGAGTAGAGAGAATAACTAGAGGCGGTACTCCGAGGGTTAGGGGAGGGTCGAAATATTACAGAGACATCTGCTGGCTTGTTATCAACAGCAACACTTCCATGAGGTGTGCTTCGTAGCAGCGGAATCACGAATCGACTCATTCGGGAATTCGACTTTTAAGAATCCACGAACGTAACACGCGTGTCTCGTTGAGTCCGCTGCACGGCCACGGAGGAGTTGTTGACACGCTAGGTGGAGAGTCGACAGTGACACTCGTATATTGCGACCTTGTCAATGAATGGCATTCGAGCGGAATGCTTCTACAGGGTGTATAAGTAACTCCCTATTTTGAAATGCTTGTAACTCTTATTTTTTTAAACCGAAATTTATTTAAACCGAAACCTCATCGGCGGCCCTTTTCATCGCTTCATGCCGATAAGAATCCCATGGGGGTTCCACGCTAGCGCCACTGCCATACTTACAGCTGTAACGATGAGTTCCACGTCGCGGTCAATGCCCTCTCGGGAAATCATGCTTTATTCTTTGAGAATATAGGGAAACACCAGGGAGTCAGAGGCTCGGTAAGGCTCCATCTCGCGTCGTTTGGTAGAACTTATTTTCTGTCGAGGAAATGCCAATGATTGAACATGTCCGCAATATGGAAATGAGTTTGTTGAGGCAAGGTGGGCAAATCCATAACAAAGCAAAATGGAAATTATGTGAAATTCCTTTTTATTCGCTGGGTGCATTACGTTGGAGACATCTGGCGGCAGGAAGCATAAAAGTGAGCTGGGGGGGAGTCAAGCGCGCAAGCTTCAATGCGTTTCTTATGGAAAAAAGAAGATCGAAACTGCTTTTACTATGAAAATGCTTCTTTTTTTGGCTAGAGGCCAAAATATGAAGCAAACATCATGCGCATATAGCGCAAACATCGACAGCATCCTTAACTAGTTATGCTATTAAGGCAATTAAGGCCATAATTTCAACATTATGGTGGAACTGTAATAGCTCGTATAAACGGTTTCTTTATCAAGGCTCTCACTGGAGAAGATGAACGCAATTCTCTCACAGCTTCGGTGGCGATGCATATGCTCAGATTTCCGACTCTGTCGTCATTGAGAGTTCATTCTCCCTGGAGAGATGCCGGCGGCACAGATTCTCGATTCCGCAGGGAGAAGCTGCCAAGGACAGGGTCCTCAAATCGTCATTCCCTCCAGAGATGGCCCTCACGGCATGGTCCACAGTTTTTCGTCTCCTCCAGCGATGGCGAAAGTGACAGGTCTTCAGTTAGTCATCCCCTCCAGAGTTGTCGCCAGCGATTGGGCCTCAGTTCCTCATGCCCTCCAGGGATGGCGCCGGCGATAGGATTCTCAGATCCTCATCCCCTGGCGAAATATCTCAGGCATTTCTTCTTTGGTTCTCGTCACATCCCGTCTTCCTGGCAACATAAGAGTGGAATTTTAAACATCGACAATTCCTCGCTCCCAAAACATATTCAAAACATCTACAATGAACAAGCACAAGGACTTACCTTTCGGTCGTGATGAAGTCGACGGTAAGTGGTGATGAATGCGACCACATCGGGACTGCTCAGGATTTCTTCTTGGAACAGCTTTTATACCCTCCCTTTCCTCCATCCCTGCAGTGGTCGACCTTGGCACACCCCCTTCCCATGCAGATATCAATCTCCCCTACTTCCGGTTTCCTTTCCACCTTCCCCCCCCTGCGCTGATAGGGAGTCCGTTGGCGAACCAATTCCTTCCCTCTCTTCGAATAATGCTATGTCCATTTCCTTTCCTAAATTCCTATATATTCCTTTAGGAATATATCGGAATCCTATAGGTTCCCTATAGAGCAGGGGTTCTTAACCTGTGGTCCATGGGGTAGGTCCAGGGGGTCCATGGAGGGTCCATGAAAAATTATATATATAATTGAAGGTAGCTCCCTGAAAACAGCATTTATAATTACAAATCCAGTTGTTCCAAAGTTGTTGATAACCAGGGGTGGGGATTCATAGGTAATACTCGAAGATATGGGAGGGGTCCGTAGGTGCAAAAAGGTACCTATAGGGTTCCCTATAGGGCCTATGCGGAACCCTATAGGCCCTGTAGTGTTCCGTTTGAAGTTCCCCTCTTGGCCACTAGATGGAGGTAGGTGGTTCTCGCATTTCTCGAAGTACACAAAAGTGCCCTCCACTTACCCATGGAATCATCTCTCACAGGAGAGTTTTGTACATCCCCATATGTCTCGCCTTGCATCATTGTAGCAATCAATATACATCGACACTTCCTTATTTTTCATCCCCATCTTCCAGATAGAATCATGGAGTCCAGGCGAGAAATATGCTCATAATCCTTTGAAAACCACATACGAGAAAGTGTTTTTTTTTTCTCCATCCGGAAGGAATTACTGTAAAGAGATGGTATTCACTGTTTCTGTCTGCCGTTTCATTAGGTCGAGAGGAGAATGATACGTCTCTC